TTCTTTTGGATGTCCCAAAGTACCTGAGTACTCATCCTGTGTTCTATAATGTACTCCAAGAAAAGGTATTTACAGTAAGTTTTGGAGTTTCTCTTTGACTTTTATTCTGACTCTGAGTCCTATTCCTTAGAATAAGCAGTTCATGTAATGTGCACATTGATTATAAATTTATCAGAAGAAAGGCTACATGTATCTCTTACACAATTTTCTCTCCGGTTCTGGCTTTGTTCACTGAACAAACCTTATGGCAGTCATGACACCGATTACAACACATGTGCCTGCTTGTAATGTCCCCGATAAGGTGTGATTTGTAACTTAGAAAAAAGTCTAATAAAATAAACAAATTAGTGATGGCTTTCCTTTTTCCATCAGATAAATAAATAGAGAACTGGAGCCAAGACTAACACGTTTACATCTTGATAGAACTTTGTCTCCTTTTTGTTGGCAATGGATTACAAACTGCCCTTAGCTAAGACATTGTTTATCGGCTGTCAAACACTGTAGAAGGGTTGCACTGTTGCTAAATATTGGTGAATGTTCCTTTTTTTTTTAATTGTTTTTTTCTGGTTGTGATTTATGGGTATGTCATTGTTGCACATAACCATGAATTACTCCGTTCCACATAACGGCTTATTGCTTCCTTTGCCAGACTGGAGAGAAGTCCATAGGTTAGTTTAGGCAATAAAAAATGTTTGGCTTGAATTTATTTTTCCAAACAAACGTACACATACACAAAAACATATCCACCTTACATTGTTCATATCGCTAAACAATGCATATACCCTACTCCCCCATTCTACGCAATACCCCCCAAAAAACATTGTGAATTTGACCCAGCATGCATTACAGTTCTCTTCCCAACTTTTAAAATATTGTCATACTTGAGTTGTATGTGTTCAGATGCTTGCATAGCAGTAATAGCCTGCCCCTTTATAGGGACGAAGCACGCTCCCAATACTTCAGCATTTCCCAGAATCCACCATAGACTCTCAGATTGGCAGGTGGGTTTCAGCAGGTTGAATCCCCCCTACCTGCCATTTGATCTCTTGGCTGCTCCAACAATAATTTAATTTAGTAATTTTGTCTTCTTCCTCTTCCACAGCGTTATAATGAAAGTATTACTCTTACAGCCGATCTCTTGTTAACCCTAAATCATATATAGTCGTTGTAACTTGTGTGACAGCCAGGTGAAAGTAGCCGTTCCTATAGAGATATTGCACCACTGGATTCCTCAAAGGGTATACAAACACAATGGGGGGAATTTATCAAAACTGGAGCAGATCAAATCTGGAGCAGTTGCCTATGGTAACCTTCTCTCTTCAGTTTGTTCAGTTAAGCCTTGAAAATAAAAGGTGGATGCTGATTGGTTGCCGTGCACAGCTGCTCCAAATTTTGTCTGCTCCAGTTTTAATAAATACCCCTCTGTATGTAGGTCATGTCAGAAAATATAGAAATGTGAAATATGATTTTTGGTTGGAATTGCTCCTTGGTAAAGAAAATTTATTTTTCAGTCTTTTTCTTTTTTTTTTCCTTCTCAGCTGGAAAGACAAATTCACGAAGACGAGGAGTTTGCCCGAACATTGGCAATAATAGATGGTATGCCAAAAGTTAAGGTAAGGAGAGTGTTCACTTTTTGATCGTTGTATGTCCCCTTTTTATCTTCTTTTTTTACTTTTTGTGCAGTCAGTCCTAGAACTGTAAAACATTTTGTCCTGCTTCTCCAATGTTTAACCCCTTCATGACTGGAGACGTACACTGTTCTAAGAACGATCAGAAGTCTTCAGTGATATGCTGCAGGATCAGTCACTAAAGTTATTAGTTTTAAGCAGCCTAATAACCAAAAATTTTAAAATATCATTATATTGTCAGGCAGTCCTAGTGGCTGCTTAATATAATAGACAAAAATGGTGGGGAAAAAAAGCGTAAAGAAATAAAAAATGTAACAAAATAAAAATTATATATACAAATATATTTTATCCAATAATTATTATACAAATTAACCCCTTACAATGAAAATCTGCTGCTGAGCTGCAGATTTTTTTTTTACCCTAAGGGGTTCATTTCTTTATTTAACCCCCTCATGATGGCATTGTTCAAAGTATGTCGCTGTCCCTAAGTGTGACAGTTATTGATAGTTACATTGACATTGTTGTCCACCTAACCACGATCGGGTTTTAGAGGAAAAAAAAAAGTCATGCTCAAACGTAGTAATCCAACAAGGACATGTATAGCATAAATAGTCCCAAAGCCCATGCGAGTTCTCGCTCCATGAGACCATGTTCCTGTCTGCAAAAGAATTCCTCCACGGAAAGCGCTATATGCTGCATTTATAATACGAGGGTGCAGAAAGGGCCCTGCTGTGTGTCTATGTCACGTCTGCCCTATGATTTAATTGTAGTGGAAATATTTCTCAACAGAAGCCTTGTTTGGGTACATTTCAGCCACTTGTACAAATTTTTTGTGCAACATTCTAAATATGTTGTGTTCTGTACTTATATCAACATATAATTTACCTTTTCAAATATATTTTTTTTTTATCCACAGGATATTTAGAGAGGTTTTGGTTAGCTTTGAACATACATGTGACAAAAATTGTTCATCATCACTGACGGATACAGTATTTTCTTTTTTCCTAGTACCAGATGAATGAAGCCCTGTACCTGTTGCATACACTTTAGTAATATGTGTGTTTTAAATTATGTAGGGACCTAAGGTCAGCCCGAAGAAGGAGAGCTTAACATCTGCTGAAATAAGCCCAGCAAAGAGTGAAAAAAGGATTTCGCCAGGTAAGAGACACAACATAAAATATACAATATTGACTGAAAGTCATAATTAAAGGAATGGTCTTCCCTTGTTTTAATAGCCCTATTTTATTTAATTATTCTCCATGTGTTAACATTGCTCATGAAACACGTAGGAAGTTAAACTTGTGTCCAGCGAAAGGAAGCATAGGGTGGAGATATGGCATCACTTTGTTTCCTGGTGGCTTAGGAACAGTGTCACAGAAGTCACATCTTTGAGTAATTCCATTTCCTAACAAGCAATGTCAGCAAGGACCCCAATCAGTTTTATTTGTAGTTAATAGCTTTAATGAGATGGCGGTTTTACTAATTTTTCCACTGTTTTATGTCCCTTTACATCATGAAGATTGCAGTGACATATTTCTTCTGATAATTGAAAATTGCAGGTTATGCCAATGAAGGGCCTCTGTTCTTGGAGTGTCACAGTGATCTCTGCTTCAGCAATATGCAGAATGTACCATTTAGTTCTGCAATCTAGATAAAAATGTGTGACTCTAATAATATCTAAATGTTCTTTGTAGGCAGAACTTCTAGTCCATCAGATGAATCTACCATCAAGAAGGGAAAGGATGTTAAAGAAGGAAATAAGTATGCCTCCAGTGCACCATCTGAACAATTATTTTCACACAAAGGCAAAGCCTCTTCAGAAAAGACTTCTCCAGTGAAAAGCAGCTCCAAGCTGTCTCTGATGAAACAAAAGGACGAAGCACAGAAAATGGAGGCAGTATCTAGCACAGTTAGTAAATCCAAGGTCATTTCTCCAAAGAAACAGCATCCTAAACTCAAGGATATCACTCCAAAGAAAGAACAGCCTAAGGCCATGGTTATCTCACCAAAGAAAGAGGTGACCACACCAGTAAGATCATCTCAGCGGTACTCGGAGGTAAGACTTCTAGCCGTCCTCATAATTTTTCATAGGTGAAGCAAGCCTGCCCCAGATCCCAGAAGACAATAGGCTTAATCTACCAAATCCCATAGTCAGTGGAATCTGGTACTGCCAATAGCTAATAATAATTCCATCTTCTTGAATTGGAAGCTCCTGAATTTTTTTAAGATTTAGTGGGTGTGGGTGGGAGTGCTTTGGATGTCAGGTTTTATTGCTGGGTAGAAAGTTCTTGTCCAGGTAACATAAAGACATCTAAGTGGCGACATAAGCACAGAAAACAAATTTTATCCGTTGTAGAGATTTCCCTGATTTCATGTCCTGGTGACACAATAGAAAGAAAGAAAATCTCCCCAATAGGGACACAGGCAGCAAAAACAAAAACCCAGAAGAGGTTCTATGCCCTCCTTGTAATATCTATAAAAAAAAAATTTGGCTTGAGTTCCACTTTAATAGCAAACAGCCACTGTTGTGCACCAATATAAAAAAATGTAAATGCCTTTTATAAATTGTACATTCTTACTGTAAGTGCTCATGCATGGAGCATCAAGAATAGATTTGGCTCGATTCCATATGAACAGTAACAAGTCAAACAGACTGAACAATTTGATCCTTTGTTAATATATGGTAATGGTATGCCTTATTCTGTTGTCGTTAGATCATCGTAAATGTTAACTTTAAAATGGTTTTCCACTTTTGCAGTCAAATTTTAGAAAACCCCTCTATGTTATAGGTTCCTATAAGTTTCAGCATACTGAAAAATTCTTACCTTTTTAGATGTTTTGTTAAATCAGGCAAGATGGCTGATTCCAGGTTTTTCTGAGCCCTGTCACAGTGGTCTGTCCTAATGGAAAGTCTTGGGACTGAAATTTGAGGATTGTAAGCCTCATTAACACACATTACACTAGCCACCTCAGAATGGACGAGACCCCTCGCCCATCACAGCCCCTCCTAACATTTAAAAGAGAGGCACGAAGAAATTTTAGCCCGTAAAACCCTAACCCAAGTAAAAAATAGGTGTTATCCCAATTTGGCTGTGAAAGTGGAAATACACTTTAAGTATATTTTAGATGTGGCAATCCAGAAATTAGACTTAATTGCCAAACTGCAAGATCTTTCAGCTTTCGGTCAGTAATATGTTATATTCAGTTTGTCATATCAACAATGATTTTCTGTAACAGACCAGTCCTGAAGATTCTGAAAAGAAGCGGGCTAACTTCAGTGCATATAGAAACTTTCTTAATCGAGAAGGCCCTAAAGCATTGGGATCCAAGGATATTCCCCAGGTAAGGAATTATCACGAATATTGTAATCTCTGTAGGTATTGAATGTAACAGGGATTGTGATGCTCCATAATCCCAAATCAGGATAACTTGGGTTAAAAATTAAATATGGAAGCTGTTGATGAGTCATGGGTGCATCATGTATAAAGTATGTATCTGTTATTTATTTTATAGATCATGAATTTTTTTATATGAAGCTATAGTATAAAAAGTATTAAGAAATCCAAACTGACCAACATCTATAATTTCCCTTTAAACAAATACAAAGAAGTATAAAACATTAACTTTCTAGTGATATGCCTTGACTTGGATCTTTCTAGAGACAGTAGCAGGGAAAGCCAGTATTTATTTACTAGAGGTAGTGGTCCTTGACTAAGGAAGGCCAGTGGGAAGAAAAACTTAACAGTAGCTATTTTACTTTTACTTAACATTTGGCTCGGTTCCCAATATGAAATATTAAGAAGTCACTCTTTGAGCACTTTAGATTATTCACCCAACACATTTCTGATGAATACCTTTTACCTGATTGTTGTATTCCCTTAATGTTAGGGTGGAGATAACTGCTTGGAAGGGTTGACCTTTGTCATAACTGGAGTCTTGGAGTCCATAGAGCGAGATGAAGCCAAGTCCTTAGTAGAACGTTATGGTGGAAAGGTAACTGGAAATGTCAGCAAAAAGACCAATTACCTCATCATGGGCCGTGATGCAGGAGAATCCAAACGTGACAAGGTATAGTCCTGTTTTTTTGTAAGGAAATAGGAAAGTTTCTTAAAGCAACAAGTAGCTTTTGAAATGCATTATTTTTCCAACATACAGACTGCAGATTTACTAAATCGCAATAAACTGCAGTAAACTAGGACAAAAAAGGGCAAGTACATTCAGCTAAAAGACGTAAAGGAACAGGTGTTGTCAGGGTATACGAATGAGTAGGAATTGCACAATTTGTGAAACAAGTTGTGTATCTGTAGAATGGTTTCTAGCTTGTTGTGAAAATTTGTGGTGTTTGGGGAAAGAGGGGCACTTACTACAGGCTACCTGTAGAAAACTACACCGGGGGCAGATACAAGACCAGTCACCCTGCACAGGGAGAAACAGCAGCAATTACGTTATTACAGAGGCATTGTCCAGGAGTTGTTTTATGCTGGATTACTACACAGATCTGAAAAATATACTCCATAAACCTCAATGTTCCGGTAAGCGTACACTTGCCTCTTGTATTTCGACTACCGGTATATATATTTAGCTCGGAGATTAGCTTTAGCCTGATTCCTAAGGTCAGCCCTTTACATGTAACCCCTCTCCCCACATGTAACCTCCAATACACAGAATATTGGAGCCCTATCGCTAGTTAACGCATATTCTCCTACGTCTGGAGGCTTTGTGGGAGTCTGCTCCCATAACAAACTGCTGAATCTACATATACGCTGGTAAAATTCTCGTACCCAAGCTTCAGTATACATATACTGTATGCTGATGGAGTAGTGGAGGAATCATTTAGCTAAAATGCTGTTGTGTACTGCTCCTCCTCTTGAGGGAAAATGTTTAATTTAGGGAATGTTTTAAGTGATTTTGAAATCACTTCTGCTATGGCTATGCTATTGGACCACTATTTGTACCATCTGAACATTGCCCCTGATTCAGTGGTAAATCTGTCAAAAAGTCAGTTCAAACAAACTTATTATAAGAACATCGGATGAGCAGAGGTTATTTTCAATGTATACATCATATGAAAACTGCCTGTACTTTGTGTGGGGAAAAAAAACAGATGACAACATAAAAGATTTGACTTTAGCTGTAAATGTTTAATTTTGCCTTTCACCCATCCACCTCCTGTGCCTTCTTTTTGTTCATTGAGGTATATTTTCATCATAGGCTCTCTTTGGATTGTCCAGGTTTTTCTTAGGTTGTTGGCAAACCATGTTACAAGTGAAAACTATTTTCAGCCAACAGATAGGAAACCTAAATTTCTAAATCTAGTGTGGTGCAGTGTCAGTAAAATGATCTGTGATGCAACTTTTCTGTATGCAGGCAGAAAGCTTTGGGACAAAGATTATTAATGAGGATGGTCTATTTGACTTACTTCGCACCTTACCTGGGAAGAAATCCAAGTATGTGATAGCAGCAGAAGCATCGGTAAGTGTGACTGTGATAAGGAGGGTCTTTGGGGGAAAATGTTCTGTTGTTTAACAGGGTTATAAATGTACATTTATCTTGGTGATTTAATTTGTCTCAGCTTGTTAACTCAATGCATTGATTTGGGAGTGCATAAGGGCCCTGACAGGAATGGCTTTCTCTGGCTTTTTTACATAGCTTAACGGAGCCAGGACAGGACAGCAAGGAGCGGCTGCTCTCATAGTCAGGTACGCGATCCGTGACCGCGTGCCTGACTGAATTTCCACTCGCCCTCTCTTTATTTCCACTCGCCAAATGCGAGCGGGCGAGTGAAAATTTTGAGCCCTGCTGTATATTATGGTTTGGTAATGTGTTCTTAGGTGGAAGGTAAGGGTCCATGCAATCTGAATGTAGTATGTTTTTGCTTTCTCACTATTGTCAACCCCATTTCTGTGTTCTTTGCTTGTAGCTAGGCTAATAAGATGTGATCCCAGTATTTGTAAGGTGCAGAGAGCTGTATAAATGTACAACTAAATATGGGAGCTAATGAATAAAAATACTTTTTTATTTTTCTCATCCATTGAGTGGCTCAGAAAGTCTTTCGCCTTATAGTTATATTGCTGCCTACTGGAGGATTGGACACTGGTAAACCAAAAACTGTAGACCCTCCCAGATAATCCCTACTTCTACCACCAGCATGTTTCTGTTTTTTGCCAGTGTCCTAGGAGGAAGGATTCCTTTTTGTTTTCTTATGCTTTAATGTGTAAAAGATTATTCTTTTCTTTCTAGCACTTCTTTTTTCTAGGAACTTCAATTTTTAACAGGCTATCTGGGTTTCATGAGTACCTGAGGCCTTGCCCTGTGCTCTAAGCCTTATGTTGCCTTACCACCATGCCCTTGCAACATGTTAGACACTGGGGAAAAGGGGGGTGTTTTGGGACTCTGAGTTACTCTGTACTGGGTGCCCTTGGTTAACACTCTACTAGGAGCTCCGGTGCATTTCTAAACTTGCTTACTGATGTGGCCAACGTCTGCATCCTGGAATCCCGTTGCCCTTTGCTCCTGGAGACTTTGCCATCTTCAGAGTCTTAGCTCTGTTGGACATGGAAAGCTCCTCTTCCCAGAGTGAGAGGGATGTTTGTTAACTTTTGCAGACACTTGAACTTCTTCTCAGATGCCTGGTCTCTAGGGCTGCAGCTAACGATTATGGGCGTGGCTTATGCGTCCTGTGGGCACGGCGGGCGCAGCGGGACGTGAGCAGCGTGTGCTTCAGGCCGCGTGTAGAGCCCCGAACAGGGAAATCAATCGATAGCCGACGAATCGACGATCGAAAACGTTGGTAACGTTTTCAATCGTCGATTTTAATCGACTAAATCGATTAACTGTTGCAGCTCTACTGGTCTCCAAGGGCCACAAACTGGAGTTTCAGTCCCTGCTCCCTTCTGCACAGATCAAGCCTCCATCGAGCCCTCTTGGGTCTTTTGGATCAATTTATCATTGCCCATTTCCTGTGGTAGAAGGTTTTCAGGGGTTTTACACCTACCAACTCCAACTACCATTCCCTAACCCAAAGATGGCATCTGCCCCATCTCGGATCTAAAAAACACAGAATGTCTTCAAGTGCAGAAATTCCACATGGAACCCATCAGAGCTGTCATTGCGTCACCTTCAAAAGGAGACTTTCTAGCGTCAACGAACATCAAAGATGCATACGCACACTGTACATGTTCCCATCTTTCCAGTGCATCAGTGTTTCCTACACTTTGCTATGGGATCCCTACACTACCTGTTTGTGGCCCTGCTCTTCAGTCTCTCATCTGCACCTTGGGTCTTCACCAAAGTGTTGGCTCCAGTACTAGCCCTGCTGTGGTTTTGTGGCATCCCCATTGTGGGATACCTGGACAACTTTCTGTTGAGGGAACAGTCTGTGTAGGCTCTGTTGGACAATGTGGTTTTGACTACAGACATTACTGAAGCTTCAGAATTCGTCACTGTAACTAACTCAGTGTTTGGAGCATCTGGGTCTAGTCCTAAACGCTGCACATGTCAAAATGTTTCTCCCGCAGGAGAAATATCGGACTCTTCCATCTCAGATTCGAGCTCCTTAGTCCAAGAGTCGTATGACTCTGCATTGTATGAGAGTTTCACAGGCCTAAGCAAAATAACATTTTGCCAATGTGTGACAAGGGAGTCCTGTCCCTGGACAGACTGAGTAGTTTGGCACCCAAGGACCTAGCTTCGGAATAGAGGAAGTCCTTATCTTCGGATTTTTAGAAGATCCTTACAACGGATGCCAGCCTATTGGTCTCGGGAGGAGTCTTGATGCAAGGGACTAGGTCTTCAGAGATCGTTTCCTGTTTAACTTCCTGGAACGTCAGCCAGTTTGGCTGTGTTTTACAGCACTGGACCATCCTGCTGGAGGGTCATCTGATCTGAATTCAGTTGCACAATGCCAGAGCACACTTCCTTAGTTGGCAATGACTGGACTCCGGGCATTAGTCCCTACACCTGGAGGAGTTCCAAGGATGGTGTCACAGGTGGGGGATGCCAGATTTTGACCTGCTAGCCTACAGGTTAAACAGAAAACTGGCCAAGTTTGTCTCCAGGTATAGGCATCCTCTAGTAAAAGCAGTGGATATTTAGGTCTCTCCTTCGGATCAGTATAACCTCCTGTGCCTTTCCTCCCATGAAACGTCTTCCTTGTCTGCTTCTCGGGATCAAGGTGAATGGCATTACAGTGATGCTCATTGCTTTGGATTGGTCCAGGCAGATGTGGTATGCTAACCTGGTAAGACTCCTGGCGGATGCTCCAGGAGAGAAATGCCTGTCTCTACTCTCATCCATAGGATGAGCTCTGGGAGTTGAGTGGTATCATGGGCAATGTAGTTCTGATTTCAGCCTCAGATATAACTTGTACCGCAGCAAATGATCTTTTGTTTGCAAATTTCCAATCATCTTGTGCCAGCAGTATAACCAAAAGTCAAAGATTTCCTGTGCCACTCAATGGATTCCATAAACAGGATTTTTACCATAAGTAAAAATAGTGTTTATAGCTGGCAGAGTCATGAGGGTAATTTTCATGTGTTGCCTAGCTCCTTTTTTTGAAGGGGCATTAATCTTCTTTTTTTTTTTTTTTTGCATTTTAGGGAAAGTAATAATTGTCATTGGACATTGTTTTTAAATAAGGGGAGACATCATGTAGTTTCCTTAAGCTGTCTTCACAGGCAAGTAATGCCTAGTATATACATAACGCACACATAGTGGGTTATTTGATTTACTGGGTCTTTTTTTTTAAAAAGAATCAGTTGCCATAGGTTACTGCACTTAACTTTAGTGGATAACCGTTCTATATTGGCACTATTATTACAAGATGGTTTGAATGTATTTGCTGTTTAGGTGAAAGTGAAAACCGAAAAGACCCCAGAAAAGAAAAAGGAGCTAGAAGTAATAAAACCAAGCCCGGCTAAGAGGAAATTGACCCCACCGAAGAGAGAATCACCACGGGGCAAGAAACTCGGAACTGACGCAAAGGTGTCAAGTGATTATGTAACGACAAGTATAAAGCAGGAAGAGAAGCTAACGTCTGTCGGATCTCTGGAATCGCCATCATCTAGTGGCAAGACGGAGAGTCTGCTCTGGGTCGATAAATACAGACCAGCAACGCTAAAGGGGATCGTAGGGCAGCAGGGAGAGCAGAGCTGTGCTAATAAACTTATTAGATGGCTGAAAGGCTGGCACAAAAACCATTCTGGAGACAAGAAACCTGTTGGTTAGTATACTTGGTCTTCTGTGTTGGTAGTATATGAGGGAGGGGCAAGTTTATAAAATCTGGGCCTTCTACTTCTTCATGCTTCATGTTCAAAAATAACTGTCACAGAAATGTCACTTTTTTCCCCCCCATAAACGTTTCCTTATCATCCATACAGGCATATATTCATCCTAGGAGTTGCATTAAAGCAGACTGCATTGTTTCTTGCGTAAAATTATTTATTTTTTTCTTTTGTCAACTTCAGTGTATGTGGATTGTAAACATAGTGTAGAAAATACCTAAATTTTATGTTTTGTTTTTTTCCTAATGAAACTGTATTTTAGCAAAATATAACAAGTTTGGAGGCAAGGATGACGGTTCATCATCTAAAGCAGCTCTGTTATCTGGTCCACCAGGAGTTGGAAAAACCACAACAGCAGTACTTGTGTGCGAGGTAAAGTGTTCAGACTTTTCCTTAGTTTATCTGCTGTGTTTTATCAATTTTCCAGTATTAAAATGTGGTGTGGAGGCATCACCATTCTTGTGTAACTTTCCTTTCCTGCTGCTCCTATTGAGCGCTAGGAGCTGAAGGAAATGCCTGCTATTTCCAGGTATGGAGGAGCAATGCGGCTCACCCCTTGTAGTGGCACTGGACCATTCCACTCAGCAGCTCCATAGTCCTGTATGAGCTGTGACTCATAACTTGCTTAGGGCAATGCTTTCTCTTCTGGCAGCTGAACAGAGTGGTGTTGGGAGCAAAAGGACTATAAGTATTTGTGTCTGTAGAGGACTACATTAAAGTGAACCTGTTGCTTTGTTGTACCTAGGGATGCACCGATACAAAGTATTTGGGCGAGTAAAAGCAAATGCCCCTGACTTAAAGTACGACTTCCTGATTGGTCGGGAAGCTGGCCAATCAGAAAGCCAGGTGGCGAGTCATTACCCTCCCCCCGGCTTCCTGATTGGTCAGAAACCTGGCTCCATGCTTCCCAGTCACCTGGTCACGAGGTAGCATGGAGATGCCGACCAGCTTCCTTAATGGAACTTCCAGGATCGGCATTCGGTATGGGCGAGTGCCGAAAAAAAAATATCTGTACTTGATATTGAAAAATCGGTATCTGTGCATCCCTAGTTGTAACCTGAACTGTGACCAAAGTGTTTCTGGTATATGTGTTTGGAAGGTTGTTTGATCCCCCTACATAATGGTATCTGTCTTGTGCAATAGGAGCTGGGCTACAGTTATGTGGAACTAAATGCCAGTGACACCCGCAGCAAAAACAGCATGAAGCAAGTAGTGGCAGAATCGTTGAATAATACCAGCATTACAGGATTTTATTCAGGTAAAAGTCTATAGAGAAAGTGTTGGCGCTAGAGAAAGTATAGCAATGGAAAGTAAGTGTTTATCCTTTGTTGTCTAATCTGTGCTAGGGAAAGGAAAGGTGGCTTTTGATTGGATGCTTCGGAGAGAGGGAGATTATCTATCTAGTTGATGTGTAATACCATTTATTATTCTCTTCCTGTCTAATTTCATTGTCTCTGTGTACATCTATTAGGGGCAAGCAAGTCCGTAAGCGACAAACATGTTTTGATCATGGATGAAGTAGATGGTATGGCAGGAAATGAAGACCGAGGGGGCATACAGGCAAGTCTATTGCGCTTTGTAGAGGGCACAATTTTAATACAAAGTGAATTCTATATTATTGTATCATTTGCTGAAATTAGATCATTTAGTGGAATGCATACAGGAGTGTACTATGTAGGTCCTCTTTATTAGAGCTTCTCTATGCTGCGCGGTCACCTAGGAATACAAAACCACTATTTTGATGTTCTCAAAGCTGTACATCTGATCTACATTGCTCACTTGGAGCTGGCTTCTAATAGAAAAAAGTTATGCTGGCATATGATGTAGAAGGGGAAAGGGATGTACGGGGGTGAAGTAATTTGCTGGGAAAGAAATCAATGTATGTGGGGTTGGGCAGACTGGTGGGGAATATACAGCATTCAGTAGATTAGCAGGAAGGGCTGACAACCCTGCTCAGCGTTCCGTATGTGCAAGGTTTTTAAAGGGATAAAACATGGGGAAATTGGCATGTATTGCACAAATGTACTAACTATCTGTTACATACACAAACATCTTTTGTGCCCGTAAGAAATCCAGTGGACAGTTCTTGTTTTTTTTAATCAGATAATGTTTATTAAAGCTTTTTGATATAGTATTTGAGGCCGAACAAAGACACAAGTCCATCAACTCCAACCTATTGCGTGTATGCATTTATGTTTGATCTGGTGTGTGCGTGTGGTATGAGTTCATGTGTGATATATACAATACAAAAACGTAAAATAAAAAATAAAAACAGATGTCTGGTTCCTTCAAAGTCACAGATAACTAGAAAAATAATACAATGCACAGTGCGGACATGAGCAGAGCAAATCCTCCAATGTAACAGCAATAACAGTACAGTGTAAAAAGTAGGTTAGACATGGTGTGCACATTAGATATAAGGGAGACCTGGTACAATTCAGATAACGCATACTCCTCCAAGACCTCAAACACTTTCACAAATATCAAAGGGCATAAAATCATGTATGTCATGTCAGTAATGAACAAAAGGCAGCTATCTATTGTGACCAAATCGAATCAAACGTGGTCATAGTATTTGGAAGCCAGTAAGTATGTTTTTCAAAGGCTATATACTTAGCAAGCTCAGCCTACAGTCCTCAGTCATTGGAGGATATGCTGACACCCATTTAACTGCAGTCATCCTATGAGCTAAGGACTGTTCGATAGCTAGGGACATATGATCGTCCATATCACTTGTGTCCGAATAACCCAGAAGCAGGTGAAAGGCTCAACCAGCAGTGTAAGCCCATAAGAAGCATTCACATTAGAGATAACTTCTGTCCAGTATCTTTTCAATTTCGGGCATCTCCAAAGCAAATAAGGTTACCTTGAGGCTGCTGGAGTCCCCACGGAGGCCTATCTTATGGAGAAATGCTGGAGTACGATAGACTCTGAAGAATAAACAGCTGTGCAGGTTTATGTGATGAGGAAAACCCGCTGTGTCCGCTGCAGGATCTGTTCCCAAATCTCTTCAGAGATTTCCGCTCATCCTCTTCCCATCTATACCTGCTTGGGAAAGGAAAGCATGCTATAAATGCATGTAAAGGATGGGAGTAGGAGAGGGATAGCAAACCTTTGGTCTTCCCAGCTAATGTCAAAGTATCTATCAGAGGGATAGAGGAAAACTGGCCCAAACAGCCCGGGTTTTGTATTTGCTGGACATGTCCAAGCTGTAAATATTGGAAAAGGCACACACGTTTCAAAGGAAATTCAGAACACAATTGACCAGTGGACAGTTTTGAGATTCAGAACGTTTGCTAGAGTGCATGTCTTGCAGTCTTTTATTTTTTGAGCCAGTCTGAAAATACAAATTTCTGTTTTCATGTTGCCTTTTGTTTCAGGAGTTGATCTCTTTGGTCAAACAGACAAAGATCCCCATTATATGTATGTGTAATGATCGGAATCACCCTAAAATCCGCTCACTGGCTAACTACTGCTTTGACCTCCGCTTCCAAAGGCCTAGAGTGGAGCAGATTAAGGTCAGAAGATTTCCATGTTTTTCCCTCATTCATCCATGAATTTTAAATGTGTCATTTGTGAGTCCAGTCATCAGTATACAGTAACACTTGGGGTCTTGTTATATGCAGGGGGCTATGATGTCTGTGGCATTTAAGGAAGGACTGAAGATCCCACCACCAGCTATGAATGAAATTATCCTTGGTGCTAACCATGACATTCGGCAGGTGAGACCTTTTACAGAAGAATTATCTTTTTTTTGGTTTTTTTTCCCCCATCTGCAAAAACTTCAAGAAGTTACTCGGCTTTGTATCTTTCTCCATCAGGTTCTTCATAACCTCAGCATGTGGAGTGCTCGCAATAAGGCCTTGACCTATGATGAAGCAAAGAGTAATGCAAACAATGCCAGAAAAGACATCAAAATGGTAAGTGAGATTTTAGACTGCTCAGTCCCAGAAGTTGAACAGGTTTCAAATTGGTAATTTAGTTAAATTAGAATAAAGTTTAATGATATCTTAAAGGAGAACGCCAAGATTTATTCAAATTAACCTTTTGCAGTTGGGCTACCCCTGCACTGCAAAGGTTAAGAGCTCGTTTCGGGTTAGGGATGAAAATAAAGAAGATATTCACACCTGATCCTCGGTGCCGCCTGGCTACTAGATCGATTGCTGCAGCCTCTCCCCCCCCCCGGTCTCTGGCGGTTTAGGGACCCGTGATGTCATCACGTCTATTGCAAGTCCATTAGATGTGAGGACGCCGAGGGATATACCACAACGCAGAGAGTAGTCACTGTCGCAGGGCCAAGGATCATGTTAGTATATATTGTTTGTTGTCCCTCGTAGACCAAAACGAGCACTTGGGTAGCCCCACTGCAAGGGTTAATTTGAATACATATTGGAGCTCTTGTTTAATTTGTGAATGATTTGTGTACAGCATGTACATATTTTAAACTTAGAAAATGACCACTGTGTTGATCGCTGTGCATTATAACGGCACCGTGTGACTCATGAATTCTATTTGATTTCAGGGTCCTTTTGATGTTGTACGGAAGGTGTTTGGTAGTGATGGAGACAATTCTCACATGACGCTTGTAGACAAGCTGGACCTCTTCTTCCATGACTACTCCATGGCACCTCTCTTTGTTCAGGAAAATTATATCCATGTCAAGCCAGCTGCAGCAGGGTGAGGACCCCCGGACTGTCTTGCTTACATCTCTGTGCTAGCCTGTAGTCTTATAATTGTTCTGGTTTCTTATTTCAGTGGGAACAAGAAGAAACACTTACTACTGCTGAGCAAAACAGCTGACAGCATATGTGATGGTGACCTGGTAGACAGGGCTATCCGCAGTAAGCAGACATGGAGTCTCCTGCCTACACAGGTAAAGTGACTGTGACATATCAGTGGAGGACGTCTGTGCTACTGACATTAGTAACTGTCTTTTATATATAGAAATTGCACATCTTATAAGAAGGAAATGAAATGTAATTGCTGCAGTTGCAATGGACTCTACATTTGTGACACAACCTTCACCACTGGTGGTTGATAGCACAGTGGCTTTAGTCTTCTCTTCGTAGCCTACTATACAGTCTTCTTTTTTGCTGGGTGTCCTTGTTTCATGCTGTGGTGGCTTTTACAGAATAGGAAAAATGTCATCCCTGCTTTTCACACCCTCGTGTATCAGTTGCAGAAAATTACCTACCTCAACATCCTCTTTAAGATAGTCGACTTTTCTTCTGCATCTCCATGTGGAGGTGAAACTTGGTATTACAGACCCGTTGTTTGGATACTGTGCGCCCTTTTCAGTACCATATTTTCTGTTTCACTCAAGTCTGAGATCATAGTACTAGCTTTACTTAGGTGTATAGAGTTTACAAAAATTGATTTGTGACTCATGTTATATAGCAGAGGGGAGGTACTATGTGAAGGAAACCCATACAGTGCAATATGGAGGCTGCCATTCTTCACCTCCCTTGAAGTACTTTCTCATCACTGACTCGGTAGTTTGCAGATTGGGGCTGCAACCAACTAATCGATCGAAAATGAGAATAGTTGTCAACTATTCTCATCGATTAGTTGGTTGGATCCTCTTGCTCTCCTCTCCACGCTGGGAGGAGGGCATAGCAAGCAGTAGGCGGGCGCAATAGCCAGTCTGTTATTGCAATTTGAAATGGCCACTAGCAGACAGGCTATTGCACCAGCCCACTGCCTGCTGTATTCACATTCCAGTAAATACATTCCATTGCAGTGCGATTGCAAACAAATTGTGCGTGCAGCTTTATTTTGAAGTAAACTTTGTTTGTAACACTTTATTTGTGTATTTTATTTTAAATTCAAGATAGGATTTCATTTTTTAAATCAGATTAATCGAAAAAATAATCGGCCAACTAATCGATTTATGAAATGAATCCTTTGTTGCAGCCCTATTACAGGTCACACGTGCTGACATTGCTCTGGCTTGGCTTAGTACATGGTTATTTGTGGTAGGTGACTTGAAGTGGTAAAGGCAATAAATCAGTATGACGCCCAAGTAGCCTGCCGTGTCGGCCTCAATATTTCTCTCTGTTCAGGTTTTCTTTAAGTTATTGTGTTGGATATGACTTTCACTCAGCGAGTGTTGTATAGTCCAGGGTGTATCCAATAATCTCTCTGCTGACTGCAAACTAGTCCAAGGTATGGCAAACCAGAGACACGCATTGGTCTGTGTATGATTAGGCCGTGGTGTAAAAAAGCCATTCCAACACCCGTGTCCCATGTAAGTATTGAAGTCCGTTGGTCATCGGAACAGCCAGGCAATTTCCATTTCCAGAAGTAGATCAGCATTGGCAGCCTCCATATGCCTCTGTTATAGAGAACACATGGTCTAGGATGTGATACTGGGTCATGCTTTGTGGAGTGAATGACGCTGGTAATTTGGTCTTTGTAGGCAATCTATGCCAGTGTCCTGCCTGGGGAACTGATGAGGGGCTACATGTCTCAGTTTCCAAACTTTCCCAGCTGGCTTGGGAAATATTCTTCTACTGGGAAACATGATCGTATCACTCAGGAGCTGGCTATGCACATGTCTTTGAGGTAAGACTACCAGACTTCTCTAGACTCTAATAGCTGAAGTTTAATCTACTTCTACCTTTCCTGGTTCTCCCTTACTCTCATTTATCAACATGCTATTGAACCTTTTTATTACATACCTTATTTTAGACCCATTTACCAAATCACTGGGTCTCTGTGCAATGAAGGCAGATTATGGCTGGTGGAAGGGGCCAGCAGGGCACACAGATTCCTAAAAACATTGCAGCACCCTGCTTTAGTACTGCTCTCACAAGTCCACAGACCTGACACAAGTAATGGGCCGACTCTTGGGAGGAGTTATGCAAATATCAAAATGCCTTGATGAGTGACTGTCTGGAGGAGTGGCTGTTTCTAGACAGTCTACCTTTACATGCAGGCCACCCCAGGAAACACCCGCAAATGCTGCTGAGCCTGCATGATCGAGAGAGATGTAATTCAATGAATGAAAGTGCCAGGCCCGGGGAAGTAAAGCTGGGGAGGAAAGGGCTAGATCAAGGGTAGGCAACCTTGGCACTCTAGATGCTGTGGAACTACAAGTCCCACAAAGCATTGCAGGACTTTGATAGCCATAAGCATGACTCCCAGGGGCAGAGGTCTGATGGAATTTGTAGTTTTACCACAGCTGGAGTGCTGAGGTTGCCTACCCCTGGGCTAGAAGATGCTGGACATCCTCCAGCCAGGAAATGAGCCGGGCTATCGGACTTGCTGCAGCTTTTAATGCACATTGTGGGAAGCTCACGGTGTGCAGTGAAATCAGAGTAAGAAATTTCAGTATAGGAGAGGAGGCTGTACAAGGCTGAAGGGGAGCCTGAAGTTCAGCTATACAATCAGTGAGAAAAGCTGACCCCGATTAATATAGCCCTTGGTCTCTACTCTGTACCACATGTGGGGGGTTTTACGCTACATTTTGTATGGCAAGTAATCATTAGATTTCAGTTTCAGCAAGATGGATGGCTAGATTTTCAAGCTCGGCTGTGTCTGTGTGATCCACAATCTGATGCCCACTTGCCAAAATCAAACCGCATTTATCAAAAAAACAAACAAATCTTCTTTAATGTGTACCATACACCAACACACAGGGTTTTCCTGAGAGAGCTTCAAGGGGCGTGTTTTTTTTATTGATAAATATATGTAATATATTGATCATACCGGAGCGTTCTTTCTTTCTTTAGAACACGGGCAAGCAAGAGGGCTTTGAATCTGGATTACCTGCCCTACATGAGGGACAGGCTAGTGCAGCCACTGATAAGCCGGGGTTCAGATGGTGTGCAGGAAGTGCTGGACCTCATGGACACATACTACTTGATGAAAGAAGACTTTGATAACATTATGGAGATCTGCAGCTGGGGAGGAAAGCCGAGCCCCTTCTCCAAAGTTGACTCCAAGGTAAGAGTTGGTGTTCACGCGAAGTGAGAAGGTTGTTATCCAATTTTTCATATTTTGTGTGTAACTCCGATGATGATAAAGCGTATAAATAACGTAACAAGAAAACTGTATGCTTGTTGGTTTGACAAAGTGCAAGCCGCCATCGCACGTCTTGTCTCAGGAGTCTGACTACATGAAGCATCTGAAATCTAACTGCTGGGTTGTCTGTGAGACAATTGCCATTTTGTATACTGACCACATTTTATTTTCTGTGTTGTAAAGAACTACACTGATCAGCAATAACATCGCGGTGTCAGACACTTTAGAATTCCGTTGTGCATGCGCACAACAAAAGTCAGTGCTTCCACCAGATTCATGTACCTGTTGCAAGCTCCGACTTGTGCAGTGAGGCCATCCTCACTGCAGATCCATAAAGCTGAGCCTGATAAAATCACAGGCTCCGCATTACTGAGCTGCCACTGCGCCTGGTATGGTGGAAGATTTATTCTGTGGGTGGGCAGAGCCTGATGGGGCATTCAGATCGGCTCTGCTGTAGATTGACAGCAGGCAGGTGCCATAGCCAGCCTGCTGTTGTCGGACCTGATGGAGTAAACAGTTCTCAGACTTCCCCATCAGGCTCTGTCTACTGCTGGCTACGGCCAACCGTGTGACCAGTTGTTAAGGGAGCTGTCGGCTTTAGCGTGACACCAGCAGTGGGCGAAACCTGATGGGCACTTCAGAGAACTTCTCCATCAGGTTCACTCTTTTGCTGGTTGACAGCAGGCAGTTGGTGGGTGCCCTAGCCAATCACAGACTGGCTATGGCACCTGCCCACTGTCAATCAGCTGGACTGATGGAGTACTCGGTTCTCTGAATTCCTCATTAGGACAGTGGGTGCCACTGGTTGTGCTCTAATGAAGCTGTAGGCAACAACGTCCTTAACAACCAGTGACGCTAACAGTTGTTGGAGCCTGATAGGGAAGTTTGAACACGGAGTTCTCCATCAGGTCTGCTCTGCTGTCAATTAAATGTAAATATGGGGGGGATGCTGGCTGACGACATTACCCAGATATGGTCATATTGGGAATGATATCGGCAAGCATCCCCGGCCCCTTTGTTTACATTCAGACTCACAATCACACTTTAATTTGGCTGTTTGCTATAGAAGTGCTTTTTAAATGGTTCACAAGCGCTTATTCTCCACTTCTGCCGCAGGTGAAAAGCGCTTTCACACGAAGCTACAACAAAGAGGCTCATCTCACCCCTTACTCTCTGCAAATGGTGAAAGCCACAAAACGAGAGGCGGCCTCATCATTGGAGTCGGAGTATAGTGAGAATATGAATACTGAAGACAATCAGGCTGAAGAAAATGAAGAGGATGCAGATGGGGATGCCATGATTAAGGTAACTCATGATTTGCTCATCTCTCCAGTTATTAACATAAGGTCACCAGTGGTGAGTATGAGGTTACTGGTGACCGCTGATATAACATGAATGGATCAATCTTCTTGTGGTTCTGTCTCCTCGTCTCTTTCATCGGCAGTGCAATACTAAATGGCTGTCCAGTCTATTGCAGCTCAGCTCTGCTTTCAGCTCTTCGAGTCCTTCTGTAGTCTTGCATTCTTTAAGCCTTGGTGAAGGGGTGGCCCCCGAAACACCTTGGCTGCATTTTTGTATTCTGGGTCTCATTTGAAGACTTGTGTACTCCTATCACCTGATGTGGTACTCATGTGACCTAACTACATACCAGTGGATCAGTGGGGGCTGAACTCCAGATAGATTAATAAATCCATGCAGGCATGTGTCCATTAACCCTTTCGCTGCCAAGGACGTATGGCATACGGACCTACAAAAGTGCTTCCAGTCAGTATGCCATACGGACCTGGCATTTACAGTCAGTATGCCATACGGACCTGGCATTTACAGTTCTACTATAAGCTGATGGTCGCTTTAGCGACCATCAGCTTATAGTATAACTGTTCAGCAGACTGTCCCCTTTAAATTAATAGCTGTCATCAGCAGCTCAGAAGCTCCTTAGTTTTGAATTTGTATCAGTTTGTAGCAATTTGCTATACAGCAGAGCTCAGCCTGGGAGGGGGAGAAGTGGCACAAGGAGCCAGTCAATTGTGCAGTAGTGCACGTAAGTAACAAGGGACACGCTGAAAGGAGAGAGCAGAGTGACAGATAAACCAATCATTCTGCTACTTCTCCGTCACTCTCCATCCAGTGCACACCCAATATTGATGGGTTCAAACTGATGAAAGGTAAAATGTGATTGTTTGCTATAGAAGTGAAAAGCTGTTCGTGGTCTCCTCACCGTACTCGGTTCTGGTCATTAAGGAAATTACAATCTTTTTCTACAATAGAAAGTATTTAAAAATGTATATGACTGAAATTATTTACAGATTGCTACATGAACTAAGACCCTCTAGGCAAATTATCATTCAAATATTTTAATATTCGTATATTAAATAAAAATGTTAATTCCCAGTTTGAATAAGATTGTAAAAAAAAATTATTGGACATTGATTTTTGCTTTGAGCGTTCTCTGTGCTGATGCCAACCCTAGCTGTGACCCCTGTACCTTCAGCTGCGCAGTGACCCCTGTACCCTCAGCTACGCCGTGCTATATTTGGATACGAATAGTGTTTATTGGAGTCTTCATCCTTGGGTACTGAAGTAATAATCTGCCAAATTGAAATTTTTGAAACTTTTTTATTTTATTGCTGGGACCAATAGTCAGTAATGTGTAAATCCTTAATCATTCTAATTTCTAAATCACAAGGCCTTAACCCCCTTGGTAATAAAACCACTCTTATTTGGCTATTGAATTTTGGAGGCAAGATCATGCTTAGCTATAGAGAGTACATGACTCTAAGGACTAAAGTCAAAGAGTGAAGTATACAGTATGTTGATCTTTAGCCATTGGATAGGTCATCTCTTGTGGATATTATTACTATAGGACACAGCTGGGCTTACTGTGCATTATGGCTCTCTGTTCTGTTATCAGGAGGACTTTTCTTTGAAATCCTTTGCAGTAACATAGAAAGTTCCCTGCCTCCAGCAAGTAGATCATGTAGCTTTTCCCTGACTGGGAGGCCTGACATCCAATCATTTAGCTACAATGGTGCTTTTAAAGCAGGGGTAGCAAATTTGTAGTTCCACCACAGCTGGAGGGCCGGAGGTTTGCTACCCCTGTTTTAAAGACTTTGGACCATATGTGGTCATGATGCGATACTAGAGCCAACCAGCAGATGGCTCTTCAGCTGAAAGCTGTCATTATTTCTGGACCTTGGTCAAACTTTAGAAGTTGTGGTTGGGTCAGCAGAGAAGGGGATTGCAGTTTAAAAGTGAAAATCATTTTTGGATAGTTTGTTATTCTGAATAGCAGTGTACATTATAGTGTGTGGGGGTAACCCTATTTCTGCATCACATATGCAGTTTTTGCTTCCCACTCAGTAGCTCTGAATGTTGTTAGTGATTCTTATACGTGCTGGAAGTGGAATTGCAGCTTCCTACGACACTGGGGAAAGGTGTGAGGCTTTGTATCGGAGGGACTTTGCACCCAACATTTTATCTGATGTGGCAAGTGTGAGTCAATATGGCTGCTATACAGGAGCTCTGATTTGGAGCTGGCCTGAATTCCATTTTTTTAATTGTGTTTCAATATGTTAGTAGACCCGGCCCTGTCACACACGAGGCTTTTCTGGCTGCATGTGTGACAGCAAACATCTACAAGTCAATGTAAAATGTATCCACAGTTCTCACTGAAAGTAGGTTGTGCTGGTGGCCATGTTTCTTCCATTCTAATGAGTTCTTGTTCCCATGCTAGGCAAAAAAGGCAAAAACATCAAAACCTTCCAAAGCAGAAAAAGGTGGAGACAAAAAGCCGGCTAAACCGAAGACCAAGAAGGCCAAGTGAAGAATGCGTTCAGTGGACACAGAGCGTGTCGGCATGCATCTCCTACAGGGAATAGCGGCTCCTCATACAGGATGAGACTGACGTGGGTGTAGAGACACATGGAGCAATAGGCTTCCTTTCCATGACTTTAGTGATCCATGTGAAGTAGCAGGGAGAAGCTTCACAGCTTTTTTTTTACACAGTGTACTAATCAAACTCATCAAGGCTTCCGTATCTTCCCCTCCAGCACTTTTTCCGATGTACCTATTTTACAGTCTTTGCTGCTCTATTTTTTTGTACATAGAAAGTGAACAGAATGTTTTTTGTATGATACAATAATATAACTATATATAATTTCTCATTAAAGTAGTATAACAGAAAGCATAATATTGTCATAGATGTTGATCATTCTAACATTGTCTGGCACTAAACAAGCAGTGCAAGAGGTGAGAGCAATGTAGTAACCCGCAGAGACAGGAGCTCTGGGATCTGGGCGTTCACTGAGCCCTAGGTTATCTGATGGATGATCTGGGTCTGGCAACCAGTCAGATTTCAGATTACTAGGTTATCATTGCCATCATCCTTCTGAAAGTTTTTTCAGTGACTTAGCCAGAAAAAGCATGTAGTCAGTGAAGTACAAACTTGTACCAGGTCAGTGTCCTAAAAACTACCGAAGCAGCGTGACAGTCAAGCAACTGGTGTTTTCAGAAGGAAAGCAGTAGTGTTGTTGTTTATAGCAATCACATGATAAAAGTTTTTAGGTCTAAAACACAACTCCAATCAATCAAAACACAACTCCAATCAAAACACAACTCCAATCAAAACACAACTCCAATCAAAACACAACTCCAATCAAAACACAACTCCAATCAAAACACAACTCCAATCAAAACACAACTCCAATCAAAACACAACTCCAATCAAAACACAACTCCAATCAAAACACAACTCCAATCAAAACACAACTCCAATCAAAACACAACTCCAATCAAAACACAACTCCAATCAAAACACAACTCCAATCAAAACACAACTCCAATCAAAACACAACTCCAATCAAAACACAACTCCAATCAAAACACAACTCCAATCAAAACACAACTCCAATCAAAACACAACTCCAATCAAAACACAACTCCAATCAAAACACAACTCCAATCAAAACACAACTCCAATCAAAACACAAAACTCCAATCAAAACACAACTCCAATCAAAACACAACTCCAATCAAAACACAACTCCAATCAAAACACAACTCCAATCAAAACACAACTCCAATCAAAACACAACTCCAATCAAAACACAACTCCAATCAAAACACAACTCCAATCAAAACACAACTCCAATCAAAACACAACTCCAATCAAAACACAACTCCAATCAAAACACAACTCCAATCAAAACACAACTCCAATCAAAACACAACTCCAATCAAAACACAACTCCAATCAAAACACAACTCCAATCAAAACACAACTCCAATCAAAACACAACTCCAATCAAAACACAAAACTCCAATCAAAACACAAAACTCCAATCAAAACACGATTTGCAGTATTTGGATTGCATGGGAAATGCTTCACTTCCTGTCCATTTGTCAGCCTGTGGTAGCAGGAGAAAATAAATGAGGGTCAGTTGACCTCAAAAAGCAAACGCTAATCTGAGCTGCGTTTAACTAAACACCGCTAATGATGTCATCTGTCACTCCCCTATACATCCAAATAACTGGGTCAGCTGATTTACAAAACTGAGTGGAGGCCATGACACCCTGATCCAGAACTGGAGATTTGCTAATCTCTGTGGTGACACAGGAAGTTTGAAGATTAGTAACAGAGGACACAACGGAGCAAAAATAGGATTTCTATTCTTACCATAAAATCTTTTCTCAGAGTCCATTGAGGGACACAGCTCTGAAGAATTCTGAGACGTAGGGTTATGTTGCCTCCTTCAGGAGAAATGGATACTAGGCAAAACATTAAAAGCCTGTCATTGTAAGGACATAACCCCTTCCACCTCACACCTGCCAGTTTCGCTTAGTGTCCTCCAGAGCATGGATGTCTCCTGTGCTGTTTCATTATTTAGTTTATTTTGATTCTTTATTGAAGATTCTATTACCAAGAGCTGCTAGTAGATTCATACCAGATGATATTCAATCCTGACAGTCTCTCTAGCTAGCTGACAAAACCTGAGAGATTCATGCCGGATAACTTAAATCCTTGAAGCTTCTCTAGTTGTCATGAAGCAGGTTGTTTCTAGTCTCCAGTACTATGCTTCGTCCCGGTGGCCTGTGTTCCTGTTGTCATCATTGAATGGTCAGGCCAGTAATATCTGGGGACAATTGTAATATAGAAAAGGAAGTGGGGAAAATCCTAAGGACTCACACCAACGAAAATAAACTTTCCACGTATGGTGGTAAATCTCATGAGTAGAAGATCCTCAAGTTTTAAGCATAGTCAGAATAACAGAATCTGAAATTGCTTTTTCTTTCAACACTTAGGTTTCAACAGTCAGGCCGTTAAAGCCAGTGACTGAGAAGCAGGGTAGAAGATTGGGTCCTGAGATAACAGATCTCACGGATCTAGAAGGAGGGATCGTCTGTCAACAGATGAACCAAATCGACATCCCACACCCTGCAAGGCCAATCTGAAGCAATGGGAATGAACGGAATACCTTCGGGTTCTATCCTGTGACGCAGATGAGGCAACAGTGTCAGTGAAGGAAAGACATTAATTAGTGTGTAATGATCCCACGGAGCTACTAAGGCATCTGCCGTTAGTTCCCTTGCTCTGGACACAAATCTGGCTTCTCGTCACAACAAGAAGGTGGACAGAAGTTCCACATCCGGTGTTCCCCAGTGGTGACAAGGTTGTCAAAATGCCTCTGGATGAGAGACAATTCACCTGGATGCAAACATTGTCTGCTGAGTTTTTATTCTACTCCTGGAATGTGCACTGCTGAAATTGCTGGAACCTGAAGTTCTGCTCAATCCAAGATTGAATGTACTTCTGACACCCTTGGTGATTGATGTATGCCATCACCGTAGCATTGTCTGGCTGAATCCTAATCCGACAGAAGACTGGTCCAGTGAAACAACACCAGACAAATCGACCTCAAGTCCATGACATAGATCAGAAGCATGAATTCCTCTGGGGACCAACAACCCTGCACAGACAGATGATCGAGGAGACCGCCCCATCCCACAAGGTTGGTGTACGTTGTGACAATCTTCGAAGTTATGGGAAGAAACAACTTTCCCATTGTCAATGCAGGGGATGTCAACCACCACGACCTGAGCACCCCAGCCAGGATGTTTCAATCTGAACAAATCTTTTCCAGCGACAGAGGAGAGAGGAACGGTGACAGGATCAAAGCTACCAAACTTAATCCTGCAACTTCAGTATTTTGATCTGAGGAAGGAATACTTTTTTTGCCTGAAGGGTATCCAACAGAGGACCCAAATACTCCCAAGTGAAGTGACGGAACTAGAGACAATTTCTTGATATTCAGAATTCACCTAAAGCCTTATAAAAAGGCCTCAGCAGCACCTAGACATTGAGCTCCAAAATAGGAAGAGACTGTTCCCAAAATAAAAAGTTGTCTATAAATCTAATAATGGGAATGCCCTTGCGATAAAAATATCCCAGAACTGGAGAAAGAACTTGTAAAAACCATTGGAGCTGAAGCTAGACAAAGGAAAGGAGCCACACATTGATAACAAAGGTCGCCTATAGCAATACGAATGAAACGCTGATGACCCGGAAAAACAGGACAGCAAAAACATCCTATATGTCTATGGGGGTCAAAAAATGTCCTTGTCTGAGAGGTGAGAACCGACCAAATGGTTTCCTTCCAGAATCTGTGAAATATGTACATATTCATTGAGTGCTATGAAGTCCCCCCAGTGGGTTAGGGAACTGTAAACGGGTTTGAGTAAAATCCTTAAAATCTCTGCCAAAGGAATGAGAATTGCGCAAAAAAAGGTTCATCCATAGCGGCTGAGACATAGGAAGCCAAGGAGGAGGAAGATAAAATATATTGTGAAATTTGAGTCTCCGCAGTAAAGCACAAATGTCGCACGTTTCTGAATAAAACCAGTAGCAAGACACAGAGTAGGAAAATGTAAAAAAACCAAATCAATTTCACACCCTGCTAATGACAGTCTGTTCTGACGATTCTGCCTCTGAACGATTCAGGCACAATAATACTCGTGGCCACAACTGGGGTGAGGACAAAATGAGGTTCTGCAACCACCTGCTGCAGACAGCAGAATATTTCAATAATGGCTGCGTTATAATATTAAATAGAACAGAGATATCCTATTTTTTAAGTGTCATGAAATTGAGGGCAATAAATAAAGGAAGCAGTGTCAAGACGACACCGTCCACCTTCAATGCTGATAGAAACGCACTACACTGCTCAGAGGAAACTAGGAAAACGGGCTGCACGTGCGCAGTAGATAAAAACAAGTGCGTCATCAAATCGAAGTCACAGCCTCTAACGGCTGGAAATGTAAATAAATTCAAACTCCACATAAGTCATTTAGCCAGATAGGAATCTAAAACACCCGCACCTATAAACATTGGGTGAATACATTTTTACTCACAACTCCACAGCCCTGTTCCTGACATAACAGGAATCCCCAAGTAATACTGGCCTGACTTATAAATGAAAACTGGAACAAAGGACCATCGCGGGACGCAGCATCAGTGCGGAGACCATAAATTACCACCTTCATGACAACTAGAAAAAAATTCCAGGATTTAACTTATCCGGCACGAATCTCAGTTTTGTTGGCTAGCTAGAGAGACTTCCAGGATTTAATAATATCTGTTATGAATCAACTAGCAGCTCCTGGTAGTAGAATCTTCAATGAAGAAACAAAATAAACTAAAATAATAAAGCAAAAGAGGAGGAGACATCCATTCTACTTAGGACACTAAGAGAAACTGGCAGGTGTGAGGTGGGACGGTTTCTGCCCTTAAAGTGGAAGGCTTTGAATGTTTTTTTTTTTTTATCCATTTCCCTTGGCAGCAGCATAACCCAACGTCTCAGAATTCTTCAGAGCTGTGTCCCTCAATGAACAATAAAGAAACTAAAGTTTGTAGCCATGGGAGACCACCTCTTGCACTTGAGCCTCTGAGATGCAAGCTGTTCAAATGTCAACAAGTGTTATCATGGAAGAGAGCCCTCCGCACACCTTACAGCAGTCCCGGCCAATTTAGGATGATGGTGCTCGAAGTGACCAAATCACGGATGGCACCGTGCAAATACAAAGCAAAAAGGTAAAAAGTCACCAGCACTCGATTTTTTTTGAAAGTAAATATGTCCCTTTATTGGACAAAAGACGTCATAGGGGAGCCGACGTTTCGGGGCCACACAGGGTCCCTTCTTCAAGGCAGAAAGTATGACCTGCCTTGAAGAAAGGCCCCTGTGTGGCCCCGAAACGTCGGCTCCCCTATGACGTCTTTTGTCCAATAAAGGGACATATTTACTTTCAAAAAAAATCGAGTGCTGGTGACTTTTTACCTTTTAACAAGTGTTATCAAACATCTCCTGTTGATGTGGAGGGCACAGGAGTGGAGAAATAAACAAGATGTTTCTTAACAGATAATGAGGGATAAGACTTTATCTATTTGTAAAGCTTTTTCCGCTGAGGAATATAGTTGCTCTGGTTACCACTAGCATCCTTGATAATATTATCAAAAGTAGATCCAAAGAGATGTTGTCCCTTGAAGGCCTTGCAGACCAGATCTATTCTGTATCTCTAAGCGCTAATTCACACCAAGCACGTCCCAGGAGTAGATGCAGAGCGGTTACAGACCGGATCAAAACTGCATCCAAAGTATTCCAATGGTATTTTGGGCTCTAGTTCACACCGCAGCGTTCAGTTCCACAGCATGTAAAAAAAAATAATTCAGCAGCAAGCCCTATTTTCCTGCTCTGGAACGCACTAAAAGGGCTTTTTTTTTTGTTACCAAAAATGGCCCAGAACGATCAAAAACGAAACTCATGCAGATCTTGTCTGCATTTGGTGTGAACAAGCCCTAAATTCTTCATTTGAGTACAAAATTTCAACATGGCTGTACTGTGTATGTGTGGCCAGCAGTGAGAGGCACCGGATGTAAACAAAAGAGATTGTCAGCCTTAGCGCGGTCATTCTACTAAGGATCAGGTGAGTATTGGTGGCAACTAGGTGAAGCTGCTCCCACTTTGGTTTTACCAGATCTTGTCATGAGTAAATATAGTCCTGTGCAGTTGATACTGGGAGGGAGATAACAATATCTGTTGGATTCCTTTTATGCTCCTTTTTGTTTACACTCATCCACGTCCATATTGCATATATATAAAAGTGCAGCTTGAGTATGTTCCAACAAAACATGGATCAGTGTAACTAAATCGTAAAAAAGCAGCAAAACATAATTGCAAAATCAGGTTCTTGTTTATTAGAAATCTTTATCTTCTTTACAATCATTGCCACATCACTGTGATAAATATATACATAATCTTAGGGTTTTATACAAAACGGGAAACAAGGTAACATTTACCCCCAAATACAGAAACTGTAAATTCCATCAGAAGCCAAAAAGCCAGACCTGGAACAAAAATCAAATATTGCTACATTAGGATAAGATTTTTGCAGTGCAGTAAATATGCATTGTTTTGGGGTTAACATATTAGTATGTTTTGGAACCTGAATTGGTGAGGCCAGAAAGCAGCTCATGCCTCATCTTTGGCCTCCTCATGCATTGGGAATCAAACAACCACGCTTGATTGCCTGTGAGCTTTTTACTTTATTTTGGCTACTGGGGAAAAACTGGAGATTCATTTAATGCTACAAAGTGTTGGTGTCGCCTTCCTCCATGGATCTACATAACATGGAATAAGGCATTGCAAGGAAGTTCAAATGTCAAGAAGTGTTATCAAACATCTCCTGTTGATGTGGAGGGCACAGGAGTGGAGAAATAAACGAGGTTTCTTAACAGATAATGAGGGATAACACTTTATCTATTTATAAAGCTTTTTTCGCTGAGGAACATTGTTGGTCTACATAACTTCAGTTATGTAGACCAGGAGAAGATCTAAACTAATGCAGGAAAATCTCACTGGAGCCTTTAAAGAAAACCTGGCCAGATAGTGTCTGGCATTGGGGACCTCCATCTCAAAATACTAGTTGTCTGGTTGTCATCAGCTTTAATATTTTCTGGAGGAAGTGACGTAGAGCAAATATGATTCAAAAGTCAGAGGCCAGAGTAAAGTCATAACTCTTGATCCGCATGCTTGTTCCATGTCAGTGCTTGACAAGGTGCGGTAAGCATTGGCAGCCTCCACATTCCTTCATATCGAAGCTTGGTGGCCTCAGCTGACGTCACAGATCCCAGGAGCTCTTTTGCTCTAGAGACCTGTGTCACTTAAGCTGAGCAGAGCTGGACGCATGTTGTTTCAGCAGTAGTCTGACTTTTGGACTATAGGCCCTGTCCTGTAGATCCCAAGGAGGATGTAAACTAACCACGCCAGCATGGATTTGCCTCTGCTTAGCATGGTCAGAAATATACAGGAAATGCTTCCTTATCAAGGGATGAACAGACAGGATTACCAAGATTTAAAATAAAAATCAATGTACAATTTAAAGGAAACCTGTCGAGGGAAATGGGTACAGCCATTGTGTGCCTGGCTGGCATGCTGAACCTCCTAGCTCAATATTTTAAATGAATGACCTTCACTCCTTCCATACCTTTTAGATAACTGGTAACTATCAAAACCACTCAAATGTAGGAGCTGTATCACTAGGTCAGCTGCCTCTACCTAGGAATGTTACCTCTACATTGATGGTTTTGAAACTGTATAAAGTTGAAGTGAAATGTAATTCAATGTCCTGTTGTTGAGGATGACATCACTGAGGTCACATACTGTGGTGGAGTTTCCTGCAGCCGGTATTATTCATGACTATGCTGATGTCTTATATATTTTGTATATATAAAAAAAAAAGAATGAATGGACTGGAACAAACCTGCCAAAAACGACCTTCCTAATACCAGGTCAGTGACTCAAAGTATTGAAGCCAATGGGCCACCACAACAGCCAGGGAGCAAGAATTTTCAGAAATTGGTCATCAATAGCAGCCCCTGTATTTCTCTCATAACAACAAATGTCCATTTTTTATATATTCACCTTCTTTCTTCTTAAAGGAGAACTATGAGGTGAGTGCTTTTCAGACATACCGGCGTTCGCTCACCTCTCGATCCTGTCACGGCTCTCTGCCGTGACAGGGGGAAGGGCTGGATTCCCCGCTCCGATCCGCCAGCGCTGACTGGTGGGAACGGGGGAGGTGGCGGGTACAGCTGGCTCTGTCTCTAGATAGGCAGAGCCAGCTGTCACTCACGCAGCTGGGCGGATCTCGACATCGATGTCGGGATCCGCTGCGGCGTCTCTGTATACTGCGAGCTGTAGCTCGTGGTATACTGAGCTTAGGGTGATGGGAGGACGCTAGTTTGTGTCCTCCCGTTACCCTAAAGAGAACTATGGGGAAAAGCACTGACCCCATAGTTCTCCTTTAACATCAATTCCACATATCACAAAGAGCTAACACACTATAATGGCGCAGACTATAGAGTAAATGAACATGGCTCCTTACATAATCCATGTGCTACTGATCTTCCTGCTCCTGTCTCAGATACACAGAGCAGTCAGGCACCTTCTTTAGTTGGCCGGCTGTTACTTTTTCTGAACACATGGGACAGATGCTTTCTGATTCCAGCAGTCTGAGGAAGAGAAGAGATTACTGACATCATTCATAATTCCGTACAGGCATATGTTCTCTTAGCAATACTATTACAATGATTACACTAGGACACCAAATGATCTATATAACGTACAAAATTGTCAGCACCAAAATGTCCGTTCTTAAATCTCAGAATTTGTATTTATAAAGGTGATTTGTCTTATTGTTTCTCAGTTTGAGGGGCAGAGTAAAGAAACGGTGAAATAAATAAAGGGGCAAAAACACAGATTATGAAATAGGAGAGTTCAGTTTATTTCTGTAAATTCAGTTTTATTTAAATTCCCGCCTAATGCCCTTGGTGCTCTTCTATCGGTGGTATGTGTTCATTAGCACCACACTGGTGTATTAAGAAGGTCCCATTTCATTTTGGCTGGGGAAGGGGGCTCTTGAAGTAAACCTGATGCTAGCAGGACTGACCGTAAACATGACAGGGGTCTGCCAGACTTACTGCAGTGATACCAACCCATCTGCTGGGCTGTCATCTCGGGGGAGGGTGGAGATATATTGTTGATGTTTTTAATGAGCAATGAAAAAATGGGCCAAGTCTTATCAGATCTCACATGAGACGGGTCAGTTCACTTAAGCAAGTCCTGACACCTGAGCAACTTTATAAAAAGGCAAAACGGGTGACGACCAACAAAAGTGAGCTGCCAATGTAGGGTTCATTCTTTGTGATGTGTTGTTGGGCCTGTTGATGTTAAAAAGCATGGACATGTGTGAATTTGGCCCTCACACTTGTCATACACTGACCCCGTGTTGTGTGAAGTCGACATCTTCATGTTGACAACTTCACATTTTCAATCTGTTTTTTTGTTAATTTATAAATATTCCAGCAGTGCCTGACATTAGCCATTGCCCCACCGACGCACACAGAGCTTACGTTTTATACTCTGAACAGAGGGCTGGAAATTCGCAATGGGGACAGACACACCAATCATCTTTCACCATGTGCCGGCCCTGAAATATGAAAAACATTTTTTCATTAGAATTCTGTACATGGCACTAGGAAGCTTTATGTTAAATATTCTGTATGAGAAATTCCATACACTGAAATACTTATGTACGTTTTAAAAGATGTCCATCCACATAACTGTGGCAACCAAATAGGGGAAATAAAATGAGATATAAGAGTAAAACCAGGGCTGCCATTTTTCATCTTCAGAAATGCCAGTGTCCTGGCTGTCGTGTCAGTCCTTTAGCTGGAAAAAGTATGTATGGGAGGACTTCGGATTTCACTCTGACATCATTTGCTGTGTGCCTGTTCCAGCTCACTGATGCCAACACTGAAACCATAGAGGCAGGCTAAGTAAATAGCATCTTCAGGGGAAGATCTCTTAAACTGGTTGCCAGAATGTTGGATACAGTTTGCAGTTACAGGGCAGGTATCTACTAAACTACATGCATGAACACGCCATTTAAGTAGAATTAAACCCAGGATAGGTGACAATTAGTTTGCACAGAGTATCATACATTTTGGAAAATACTATTGTTCCTTTTTTTTTTTTTCTCGTCATCCTGTGTTCCATCTCTGCAGCTGATCTCCTTTCAGCTACTTCCTGTCTACAATCTAGCAGCAGTTGCATAGCTTTGCTCAGGGTGGGCTTCTTGATGTTGACGGTGGACCATGTCTGCACAATGAGCGTCAGTACAGTCTCCTACAGTCCCCGCCAGAAGTGCAACTAAAAGGGTGACAGCACAGAAGAGCGATTGCAACACAGGAACAGAGCAGTGTCACCCCATAACAGGAAGTGTCTGAACAAGGATCTTTATGGCAGGGTCACCAGGGGTTACTTTCATGAAAGGTTCAGATTTTAAAAGATTGATACTTTTTTTTAATTTACTTTAACATGTTAAAGATTAGATAAGATCTTCATGATTGGGGTAACATTAATTTTATTATGAACCTGTGAGGCCTCACACAGTGCTACCTTCAGGTTGCTGCAATGCACACAGTACAGTGCAGGAACTCGCACTGCGTCTCAGAGCTGGGTGATGGAAGCTCTCAGTTGTGCCAGGTAAAATACTGTGTTTTGCAATTACAATAACAGTATCATTGTTTTCTTATTCTATTTGTAAGCTTGTAATAAAACAGTGTGCCAAATATATGCCTTCTGTGTCCTTCAAAAAACATTGTAAACATGAATTAGTCATAAAGTTATTGTCCTGATAATGAACGCATAGTAACGCTGCTAAATTTGGTCTAGGCACCTCGGCGTCCATAAAGGGGTAAATATAATGATATTTTACTTAAAATTTTAGGCCCCACTGAAGTTAGTTGTACTCACAGTTACTATACAGTATGGCAGGTTATTCTTGCAGCCAGGGCAGAGAAGTTCACACTCGGGGAGTTTGAACTCACAAAATGGACAGGGAGTGCTCTCTTCTTCCACCTCGGACGTGTCTGGACGCCTAGCAGATAAACATGTCACTTGTTAAATAGAAGTGCTGTAGAGAGAACCACACACACGGTGTTACACGGATATTACCTGACCATGGCCTCAATCTTTTTCTTGTATTTGACGTCTATTTTGTTGCGATACTCTGGCCGCATCAACATCGCTGCAAAACTGAAGGCAGAGTTTTTCAGACCAGCTCTGTGACACTCAATCACTGTGGATGTCAAGATCGGGACTATGTCTACAAAGACAAAGAAAACCTGTTATCTCCCCACATCTGCCAATCACATCATTTTTCTTTCACTGTTTAACCATCAGAAAAGCCCTGATCATCCTCTGACCATCCTTGTGTTGAGGGTAAAATATGGCTAAACAAATATTTTCTAAGAGGCGATTATGTGCGTTCTGACCTAAATCCTGGAGTGCTTTGATTATTTCTTCCAAATCTGTGCAGCAATCAAGCAAGAAACAACTCCTGCACTGTGCATTAGACACAAAAATGTCATTTTGTTCCAAAAGCATATTTGCCCGAGTTTTGTTAAATGCGGATGCATCAGAATTTTCAGCGTCCAAATGCAAATAAATCCGAATGGTCATTTCATGAAAATTTACATCGGTCCGAATCTATTTCAAAAGTAAAACTAAATCGGTCATGTGACTGTTCTCTGGGCAATCAGATTTTATTTGGCTGTTAGATGCTGCATTACAGGCATGGTCATGTGACTTCCTGTTGTGGATCTTCCGAAACGAACATTCGGACGGATCCGGAATCCAAATTACGAACCGAATTTCGGATCCGAAAAAAGAAAGAAAGAACACTCCAAATAGATCTGAAATGAAGCAAATGTTTTGCATGCGATGACATGCGGTTACATGACTACTGTGCATCTATGCAGCGATTTCCTGTAATAAAGACCAGTCACTCCTGGGTATCTGCCCCCCTGTAGTGGGTAAGGCCTCCTGCGTCGCACCCACAGCTCTGCTCTCTGCACAGACTAGGTGCAGCACAGTGATGATGACACTGTTACAAGGTAATATCTGGGTATGTAATGGCATCTGGTGGACACAAAGTGGCACTAACAGCAAAAAATGTGCTGAAAGCTGCATGGATATGGCTCTTCATACTTCTCTGTGTGTGGACAGAGGAGATAATGTTCAGTGCCGTCACATACTGTACATGGCAGGATAATAAAACAGCAGAAACACTATTACACACAGTCACTCCAATATCACATACTGCTATCTTGATACTTACGGGAAGGAAATTTACTGATGTTGTTGGCAACACGTATGAGCATTCGGGCTCCTTTCATGTGGTCGCCACGTTTAACATGGATCTAAAATACATTTAGAATGTGAATGGTTATTAAGTTACATAAAACAATGTTTATTTGTGTTATCATAGATGTAACCTAGGCAGTCAGTCACCACACACGATGTACAAAGGCATTGAACACACTTGTCCATACTATGACAATAAGAACGTGCAGATAGTAAGATGAGGAAAATGCCCGGGCCCCAAAAGGGACAATGTAGAGCTGTTAGGTGGGGAGGGGGTACCAGGTGGAAAGAGGAACCTTTGGAGCCACAGAAAACAACAGACAAAAAACCATGATGTACCCGATGCATTACTGGCTACCTAGAGGGGGTATGTCAGCGACACCTATTACATAACTTGTAGTTTATAGGTGAGGCATCAAGATTTCACATTTTAAAATGAGACAATACATGTAATATATGTTTAGGGCCAAAAAGGTCTCATTTAGAAAATCTAACAAAGACCTGTTTGTAATGCCCAGAGCCACTAACATAATTCAAACCTTCCCCTGAAATCACAATCTAAAAGTCTGAACCTGATTGGTGGATGTGAGCAACACAGAAAATGTTAATTCAAGAAGAGTATTCTAAATGAATAATATAGGAAAGCATGAATACCTTAACCAGGATGTAGCTATGAAGTATCATTAGATTTGTAGCCATTTCTGCTGGAATCTTAATTTTCTGTGTTTTCAGTTCCATATACATACTGAAGAGAACGTCATGTGCATTCCGGTAGTTACCTTTGAATGTAGAAAAGAACAATGATAATACTTGGTGACTGCATCGAGTTAGACATATATATATATTATGTGATTGGTCATATTACAGCTGTCAGTGTAATGAGTACTAGCACTACCACCCACACTGCAGCCCCTACAAACACACAGTATCCGAATCTCATACTAGGACTTCTCCTCTTCTAGGACCTGATACCAATACCCACAGAACTATCCACTGAATGTCAAGTCAATGAGACTCTCAAGAGTTGGTTGAAGATGCTTGCACACAAGTCATAAGGCCAGGTTTAGGTTATTGCTATATTACACAACCACTTTAGTGCAACATATTGTACTCTGGTAAGTGTATTTGATGAATACCTGTAATGATATTATTAAGCATACCAATCCCTTTCATCACGTGCTTTTATTTTTATATTTCTCCTCATTTATATGCAAACCAAGCTGTTCAGTAGAAGTGAGTTTTGTTCCCCATGGTCCCTGTGCGTGTTGTAAAGTAGTCACCACTCCAAGCTCACTCCTGTGATGGACTACAATCTCAATACAAATTAGTAAACTAAACGTGAGATTGTAGTTCATCACGGGAGTGAGTTTGGACCGGTGACTACTTTATAACACACATGGACCATGAGGAAGAAAAGTAGCCACCCTCCAGAAGGAAGGACAGTGTTAGCACCAATTCAGAGATGATTTGAGGATCTATAGCCGAGTGATACACAAATAAGATACATTTTTATTAATAGTTAGTCATCCTGCTTTTGTGAGATTTTACTGCAGAACAATGAGCATTGTCAACCTGTTAAAAGAAGGGGGAAAAATAATGGATCAAACTGCAGAATTATCAGGTAATAAAACTCTGAAGAAATCCTGGCATTGGAGAGAAAGGCTTCCTGAACACTTACTCCTATAAATACTGGTATAAAACTGGAGGCTGGGAGCCATAGCCACCATATATTTTAAGTCATCATTCTACTACAGGCTGGAACACCTAAGAAAGTACCTGATTGACAGCTATGGGTTACAGCATTTGCAATAAAAAAAAACAGCCATTATGTAGTTACCTGCAGACTGTTCCTCCCTTGCGATAATGATTGCAGTACGGGCCGCCTCTCTGTACTGCTTCAGAGCCATGTATAAGCGGAACAAGTACTTTGCATCCTGAAATAGGAATAAATCATCTCCCATTATGTTAGTTATTCCACAAAATGTATTGAACAACTTCTGGAATGTGTCCAGTTATAAATGGTACTGTTGGCCGCCGATCATTTGTTACAGAATGGAAAACAGTACCTTAGGCATGCCATCGCTCTCCCCCATCAGATAGTCTATCAGCTGAGTAGTCAGGAGCTCATCTTTGGCCTGTCCAACCTGTTCCGAGAATCAGACAGTTGTGGTTATGGAAAGCAACTGAAGATAAAAGTACCAGTGAAAACAAAAATAAAGAACAGATTAACACACTTGTGTATCATTTAAAACACAGACATTAATGGGAACTCCAGCAGATATTAAAAAATACCAATGAATGAAGTTATGTATTTATTTCAAAAATCATTAAACTCATTTTAAAGGCAACTTGTAGAAATGCCTGGCCAGTGACCTGACGTTAGTCTCCTGTAATCGCCTGTACAGCAGCACTAAGACTGGGAGAGGTAAGAGCAGACAAATCAAGTGACCTGCATTTGCTAAAAGGATCATGTTGACAGAAAGAGAGAGCAGAGGGATGAACTCATAAGTTTAATGCAGCTCCTTCAATGTTAAATCACAGGCTGGAAGCAGGGAGGTGAACAGGAGGTATTGCTTAAAGTGACATTAAAGTCAAATCCCCCCACCCCATAAGTGATGCCTCTTGTTCCGAACATCTCCTTCCTTCCAGTCGTTTTCAGCAGTCCCTCCACTGCTGGTGCCGGTCTCTGATCCAGCGCTGACTGCTGTCTCTTCCTGTCCCACGGAGTCTGATGTGCACGCTCACAGCTGCGTGCATTGACTTACACAGTAGCTCTCCTCCTCTCCCCGCCGGTGCTCTCCACTGCGCATGCGCCCACAGACATCGAGAAGGTGGATTCTACAGCTGACAGCGAGCGGCAGACACAGGTAAGTTTTTACCTATTTGGTAACTTTTTTTAAAATGTTTTTGCATATGTCTACTGCTTGCTATGTAAACAAAATAAGACTTTATTGTCATTTTAACTGTAGCAGAGAAAATATTAATTTTTATTTATTTATTAATTTTTTATTAAATATTTACATTACTTTTAGGGGCTCCGGGGAGATATTAGGGGTCTAAACAGATCCCCGATATTTCCCTTTTAAAATAGAAAAAGAGATTGGGAACACAAAGTCCTCAATCTCATTTTCTGTGTCCCCTGTTATCAATGAACAGGAATCCTCTATGAGTGTTCCAGTTCATTGATAACATGAGGACAGAGTATGTTTACTATAACTACAACTATGAATGTACAGGAGGTGATGTAGATTACTCCCATTCATTCATAATTGAGGATATAGTAACCATACCGTGTCCTCAATTATGTACAAACACTCAGCGATCACTTTTGCCAATACCGCTGCATTCCTAGTTCAGATACTTTGCAAAGCACTCACAGACATATCCATTCATACTAGTCATTACTGGATTCTCTTACCGTCTCGATTGCCATTTCTATAGCTGTGTTCTCATCTGCAGATGAGCATTTTAGGAAGTGTTTCAGTGCCTATAACACAAAATATAGAAACAAAATCGGAAGAGTTTTTACTAAGCTGAACAATAAGAGATATCAGGATAGCAATATGGTAGGAAAAACATGTGAATGATCTATAGAGATCTCCTCGGCTGTGGTCAGATACACTGCAAATAACAAATGAAGTTTCCTGATGCTGTCAGTAAGCGGGTAGAGGTGATACAACATACTATATAGTTTGCAGCAATCAAGACACTGCGATTTAAACTGATCCCAACTCCACTAGGAAGAAACTCAACTGCCTAGAATATCATTTGTTTGTATTTTATCAGTAAAATAAATATCTAGCCATAAGGGGAACAGATAGTAAAACCCCTCCTATAGATCTTTTCCCTCTAGGGCTGGGATGTTAATTGCTGCCACAACCATGAGACTAGTGAAAACGGCTGAATTGGGCATCCCAAGTAGAGACATCTTTTTTTTTCACTGATTATCCCACAAGTGCCGGTATGTGTGATTAGGCCGGGGTGTCCAGATTAGAAATTCACACCTCTCTAAAACTTAGCATTCTGCACACAATACTACTGTATGTATTGGGGACCGCTAAGCTCATATTAGCCGTTTACAATTCTCTATGAATGCATAGCTTGTGGTAAATGCCTATGTAAAAACTGTAAGTGGTCTATTTATAAACAATTCGCAGAGCCATTCATCCTGCGAATCTCTGAGAACAGTTATTATGTGCGAATAGAGGCAAAGGCAAACGTTCTTTGTATATTTTTTTTTAGGTGTAATGTAATACGGCATTATGGCCACTACATGGAGCTTATGAGTATACAAAATATGTTTGCCTCCATTCGCACAGAACGATTGCTCTCACAAACTCGCAGGGTGAATAGGTCTGCAAATTGTTTATAAATAGATGCCAAAGTAATACATGTTGTATGTATCTTATGTAGATAAACGGTCTGTAAATCTAAGTATATTTTTTGTGCAGTTTATGTAAAAACGAATGAATATATATTTTGAATCAATTGCCTGTTTGTGATCCAACCTTTCTTTTATTGACTTACCCTTGCATGCTGCCCACAAAGCAGGAAGAACTTCCCAGCTTGAAAGTGCTTCTTTTCCCCCTCAAAGTACAGGGCGATACTCTGATAATCTTCATTACTGGTGTTCTCAGATCCTGCAACAAACAGATACTTCTGTGTGGCTGATTGTCAGAGACACAAAGATTCGAGGTGGCCATACATGATACTCTTAGTTATAGGACATCATTAACAATAAAGATTTCCAGTCCATAAGATCTACTAGTCACTCAATATTTTGAGTCCAGAAGAAATAACATAGTTACATAGTATTTGGGGTTGAATAAAGACATACGTCCATCAAGTCCAACCCATATAGGTCCACGCATCATCTCATTCTTAGGGATACTGGTATCCCTGGATATTACGGTCCCTCAAGAAATCGTCCAAAAGTTTATTGAACAAATCTACACTCTTGGCTGAAATCACTGCCGATGGCAGTGAGTTCCAGACCTTAACCGCTCTTACTGTAAAGATGTAAAGAACCCTCTTCGCCCATTGTGCTGGAATGTTTTCTCCACCAACTTTAGGTGGTGGCCTCTAGTCTTTGTAATGGAGTTAATTTCAAACAGTTTGTTGCCAATGTTGCTGTCACCATTGAACATCTTGTACATGAAAATCATATCGCCCCTTAATCTCCTTAATAATCATATCCCCCCCTAATCTCCTTAACGGCAGTGGTAATATCTGTGGAGGTGACAGGTGAGACGTGCAAATACAATGCAGCTACTGGAAAAGGTCTTTCATCAAAACCATACATGAACGCACTCTACCTTTAGTTACAGTTCACCTGTCACAATCTTTCCCAGCAAATACTTTGCAGAGTATAGGAACTGTGTTTGCCACAAAACAAATTGACGTTATTAACTGCCATAAATGCCCCATGTATGGACTACTTAAACAGCAATTCAAGATAACACGTGAGAAAGCAGCTGTGCTAAAGCAAGAAAGTTCACTCCAAAGTTTACTTCAAATGCCATGTCCCTCAATGGACGATTGGGAGAGTGTACTGCCTGAAACCTAGGCTGTGTAACCTTCCATCTCCTTTCGCCCTATATTACCACTGAACAGATTTCTTAGTAATGGCATTGTTTTCACACCAGACTTTCCAGGATCACCAAAATACAGGCAATAGGGAGTCATGTGGACCAGTATGATACAACAATATCTGGATGAAAATCTGAGGTACTGTGCATTTGGCTGTGTTCCCAGTCACATGGCAGAAGGTTTCATTTTTCCTGGAGCGTGCCTTTAGGGTGTGGGTTCCATGCTATTACAGACATCAAGTAGCTGCATGCCTCCATGGCGGTCTCCGATGCCGCTGAAACCTTCTGCCGCTGAGACCACCATGGAGGCATGCAGCTAGCCTCACACTATCAGGGAGACCCAATAGGACTACAGCCTTACTTTCCTAAACACACTTCATCTTGGACAATGCTTCCTGGTGAAATCGGCTGGATGACTTGATGCCATCTCTCTCTGTGTAACCCTGAGGTCCCGGGTGCGACAAACAAAGGAGATCGTGAGGGAGTTAGCGTGGTCACCCGACTTCCGCCCTCTCGGTCCTCCAGGTGTCTCCCCTACTTTCGCAAACTAACCCTGCATGATCCATCTTCAGTGGGCCCCCTGATGAAGCCAATGGCGAAACGCGTCGGGGCCTATTAAGCCAAGCCTCGATAGGGACATATACTATGTTTTCTAATATGTGATCAAAATCATGCCATTTATGAATACTTGGATATATTGAGATGTATGTACTGTATCAGTGAATATACAAACAAACCCCATGCAGGGTTTTGTTGGACATATGAAATGTATCATTTTTTAATATTATTTAAGCTACAAAAATAAATTTTGATATTTTTAACATATCTCTCTTGGATGGTCAATTACACCCCTCCTGAAAAGAATGAACTTTTCACCAATACTAGCTTCAGTTACACATTTGTATAGTTGCTATGGGTTGCTGCACTGAGTGTGTCCATATTGCTTTTTGTTCTGGAAGTCTATCAGCACTTTGCATGTGTCAGTATCAGTACCTATAACATCAGCATAGATTTCCATCTGGTTGTGCTGCTGGGCAAGCTGGAACGCTTCGTTGTTGCACTTAGACAGAACAAGGAACTGGATTGCTGATCCATAATCTCCAAGACGGAGAAAGAACCTACACAACAACAAACATGTGTTCATATACAGTTACATTTAAACATCAATTCGTCAAAGGCCATTTCTAATATTATTGCGCCTTTCTCCAGTTTTAGTTTGGCAGTTGCAGCCGCTAAAACTTTAGGGTGTATTCATTCCTAGGCCATTTTCCAAACTGACCTCCCTAAAGTGTATCTAACCTTGAAACAAAAATGGAATATATTGCCGCTTACCAGTCCATAGATATGGTGGCAGCATTCGTTTTCAGGCTTCCCCCTTTATTTTTACCTGGGAAGACTGCAAATAACATACTTTTTGCCCCTGGGTGGCTACCCTCACTCCTCCACTGTATCTGCAGAAGGAACCATGGCTGCCACCTAGGCTGTACTTTAAGCATGTTTGCCTTTGTTCATCTCCTTTACATGTGGGTTCATGTGATTAGTAGTTTACAAAAGCAAAATAAGGTTGTTTTTGCTATCTGTTTAACAGGAAGTGACAAGGACAGTGCATTTTTGACAACAGGCATTTTATGTACCTGCCCAAAAATGTTCTTGACCTAAAAAAAGAAAACTAATGCAGCCACCACATCTAAGGACTGGTAAGCTGCAATACATAACATCTGCTTTTATGTGTAGTTGTGTGCTAACCCTTTCCCTGCCAGGCCCTGCTCTCCACTCCACACGTGGCCAGACTATTTTTGGAACTTTTTACTCTTTCATTTTTCACTTACAGGGTTGAAAGTTTGTAAAAGACCCCCCAAAGCCAACATTTGTAAAAGCACAGGCCGAAAAAATAAAAAGATGTTGCTACTGATTTTGCAGAAATATTTTTATTACATGGCCGTGATACGCAGCTTGTCAGCCGCTGATCACAGCTATCCATGTAATCAGGGGACCCTTCTGCAGAAGTGTATGGTAGCTGAATCAACCATGAGCCTATAGCAGAAAAGAATGCAGCCAAAGTAACTGACCTGGCCAACTGGAAGCGGCTCTGTTCTGCTGTAAGCCTTATGTCAGTGGCAGGGAAAAGGTAAATCTCCAGTTAGTCTTACCGATAATGGTGTTTCTAAGAATCTTCCAGGGCAGCAAGCCTACTTCCAGGTTGCTGTCCTGGAAAATGATTGGAGAAATCTCCAGTTATTCTTACCGGTAGCAGTGTTTCTAAGAATCTTCCAGCACAGCAACCTGGAAGTAGGCTTGCTGTCCTGGAAATGATTGGAGAAATATAAATATTTCACGAAGCTGGATTTCCAGAAATAAAGAATTCACCTGGCTACCATCTTGGCTCCCTCCAATGACTGCGTCTCTTTAACAATGGCAACAGCTCTTTCAGGATTGTTTAGGTGGTCCAGGTAGATGCGGATGACATTATCCCAGTCCTTGGCATTCTCATAAGCCAAAGCAGCCTCTTTGTATCTGGAGTGAAGAAAAGAAAAGCTGAGAACTTTGGACTTTTAACAGCAGAGACAACATTTTTGACATCCTTTTAATTGCATGTCCCACCAAAAACATGCATGATTGCCGTTAATTTAAGCAACTTTCGGTACTTGTATAACCTTTAAGAGCTCCAGTGGTTATTGATCCCTGGCAGAATGCCCACAATCTACAACCACAACCTTTTTACATTTAGAGTCCCAATGGATTCCCTAATATGTTCTCATATTCCAATAACTGTACTGTCCAAACCATCATCCCCACCAGTGCAGCTGAATGAAAATCATAAGGATTTTATCATATTTATTTATATAAAAATGGCAAATCACAAATGTACAAGCTAGCTAGAAACAGAGATTTTTGGCTGTTGGGTTTGTGCAATCAAAACATGTTGTAAGTTTAATAATGAAACAAAAGACTTATTTCATTATTCATAGACCAATCCATCGCCCAAATCATTTGGTTCCGATACCAAGAAGGGTTAAAGATCCCCCCGGTTCAGAACCCCTGATCTAAGTGTTGTAGGTATTACGGATGTCAGGCTCCTCAATGTTCATTGTTCAAATCATTTGGGGGCCCATGTGCAAGATACTTCATTATAACCTTGTGTGGGGTGTAGTAGACACAAATAATGGGAAACGTCTTACCTATAAAGGCTTCATGACACATCATGTGAATCTATTGGTTTTTCCTTTCCTTAAATAATGTTTTAATGACTTACAATGTGCTGTGGAAATTACTAGAAAATGTGACTAGTCCATCCATAGCACAGTCCCCTCTCTACTTGCACATCATTGCCCTCTCCTCTTCTAGGAGTGTCTAATTACTGTCTGTGCTTGCCTAAAGTAGGGTATACACGTATTGAATAATTTCCTGATGAGCTGTCCGAAATTTGCACAGTGGGTGCAGCCAGGGCAGCCATCAGAAATTTTGGGGCCCCTTACACGGCTTTAGGCCGGGCCCCCCACCTGCTGGATGCAGGGCTTAGTGACGCGCTGGACGCAGGACCCACCTGAGAGTGACCCTGCAGAGCCCACCATAGATGCTGCACAGCCCATCTGAGACTGTCTATGGTGGGCTATGAAGGGATCTCAGGTGGGCTGGTCAGGGCTGCATCCCTCCCTCCTTTCCTTCCTTCCTTCCTAGCTCCTCTTACCTGCACACATGGCCTCGTCTGCCACCGGACCGGCCAGAAGTGACGTCACGTCACTAATGTGACGTCACTTCCGGCCAGTCTGACATCAGACGAGCAGCGTCGCTGATGGGACCCTAGCTTGTCTCAAAGCCGCGGGAGCGGCAATGCTGGGGCCCTGCGCTGCTAGGGCCAGGCCTCTGCCTCCTCGCCCTTTGCCGTTGGCTGATAGTCATGTAAGGGACCCGTGTGGGCCCCCCAGGCTTCCCGGGCCCCTTACATGAGTATCGGCCGTACCCCCCTGATGGCTGCCCTGGGTGCAGCTGTCGGCACCCTCCCGTCTGGGATCCTTGGATCAACTGATCTAAGGAGCAGGTTGGAGAATTCTCAGCCAATAAGCTACAAGCTCAGTTTGGATATTGTGACGGTGGCTGCTGTCGGAAAAAACAATGAAAGCAGCAGGGGAGTCCCCAATCCACGCTCATAAGCGTTGATGGAGGAATATGTTTGTTTTTCTTCATTCAGCCGGCAGGTTGAACAAAGAGAATATACAGTATATGTGTTCCGCAAGCTTTAGTCCTTCACCCCTCAACTCCCTACATAACCTATATACGTGGCTACCTGGGAGTTATAGTTTAGTACATCACATCCAAGATGGTGGCACCTAGCAGCAGTCTCAGGGCTTTTGGATGTCTACACAAAGGAGGCTTTTAAAAGTAAATAACATGCATACAATACATTCAATGCACATATAATCTTATATATATTTCCTTGAAATGAACAGTGGCGATAGTCCTTTTTCCTGGTACTGTAGAAATAAACAAGTACTCAAGTACTTGCACTCCAGGAGGAGCCCCCCTGCAAGGGTAGTTTTGCCCGGTGTTCAGTTTCAAGTGCTGGTATCGTGAACTAACAAATGAACATTTACATAGGTTAAAGTTCTGAACACAACTTACTTTCCATCAGCCTCCTTTGCTTTTGCATACTGTAAATGGATCTTGGGAGAAGTGACATTAGGAAGAAGCTCTCCAACCTTTGCCCTGAAAAAACAAATGAAAGTTATAATGTTGCAAGTCTATTAAAATGTTATATACAAAGACAAGTGAATTTGTGATTTAATATTAAACTAAATAATGAAGACAGTAAAGCTAGGATCATGTTAAACATGAAGAAGATCCCCTTTCCCGGACCAGAACTGCAGTGGGTTAGCCAGCCATGGCTGGGCACATTGCCCCCACTCCTCATGCTCCCCTATCACATGCTGAGGCGTGGCCACTTAAAAGGCCTTAAAGTGACATTAAACCCTCAGATTTTTTAACATAAACCAATACTGTAATGTGTGCCTTACTGTAATCCATGGTAGTTTCCCTTATCTTTGCTGCTCTTCCTTTTAAATCCTCATGTCTTCTCATGCTTGGGGAGAACTTCCCTTTGCAGCTGAGTGCCTCTTCCTGTAGTGCTGGCTCAGGTTGCAAACCTACACACAGACAACGTGTATCCATTCCTGAGACAAGGCAGTCTGCTGCAAAACAGAAGTTCTGCCCAGCATGAGAACAGATACAGATTTAAAAGGAAGAGCAGCAAAGAGAAGGGAAAAAACCATGGATTACAGTAAGGCGCACATTACAGTATTGGTTTATGTTAAAAAATCTGAGGGTTTAATGTCACTTTAAGCTTAAAGGTGTACACATGTATCCGGTAGTTTTAAACTACGGTGCACCATAAACAAAAAGCCATTGTTTTTTACAGCAAGGGTTCTATTGTTGGATTTTGTTGTCACTTTGAATACATATAGTGCTTAGGAAGTAGTTTGCTTACCAGTTTTTACAGCGGATGTACACAGAGGCTGCTTTGTCATAGTATTGGCCCTTCTCATATAGCTGGGCTGCTTCTGAGAATTGCTGGATTAGATATGAGAGGGAACAGCGTAAGCAATAATACAGATAGAAGATCATAAGTAAAAGCCTCAGTCCACCACAAAACAATATATACGTTATTGATAAATGATTATTATTATACAGCATTTATATAGCGACAAGAGTTTGCGCAGCGCTTTACAATATAAGGAAGACATTATAATTACAATACAATTCAAGACAAGATGGTGAGGAGGGCCCTGCCCCTGAGGGCTTACAATGTAAGAAGGAGGGGCAAGTGAGGAGGTAGCTGTGTGGGGATGAATTGTTTGAGAATGTGATGTGGTTAGTTTGAGGTGGGATAGGCTTCCTTGAATAGATGAGTCTTTAGGGATTGCCTAAAGGCAGTCAGAGTAGGAAATAGATGGACAGGTTGGGGTAAAGAGTTCCAAAGAATGGGAGAGACTCTAGAGAAGTCCTGAATGCAAGCATGGGAGGAGCTGATGAGGGTCCTAGAGAGCGGGAGGTCTTGGGAGCGGAGAGGTCGGTTAGGGTGATACTTTGAGACAAATGTTGGAATCAACTGTGATTTCTGTGCTTTTGCTTTTCATATCTGCAAATCAGCCAGCCCACCCTCCATGTTATATTTTTATTTATTTTATTATAGAGAAAAGAAAAGGTGTAAACTCCAAAGATCAACCCCGCTTTGGCACACTGAGCAAGGCTCCAGGTGGAAACAGAACCAAGTACTATGGTGGGGTGATCTTGATTTTGAGTCACCAGGAAATATAAGGAACCAGTGAATGACTCGGCCCACCAGACTACTTTTGGGTCCCTCACCATGTGACAGTGAAACAGATGACATACCTTCATACTTTCCAGAATGGCTCCACAGTCTTTCTTAAGCAACCGGCTGGTGGAGCTCTCAGTGGCTCAGTACAATTACTTTGTCTTTCTCTAAACCATCATTGAGAACAGATATCAAGCCACAAAGTAAATATTTAATTTGATATATATTTACAAATTATATGCAAAAAAACAAAGTTTGTTTTTTTAAATATTACCACATAGTGATACAAATACATCAAACCAATGTCACTTACATGTTTCTAATAAATAAAAGACTACACATTCCCTTTAAACAGTCTAACAAATTGAGATGGGCTTAGCTTTTCAGACAAGATGTCTGTCACTGTTCTCAATCAGTTATCCAAATACTCCTTGAAGAATCCAGTACACAGAAATGCTACATCTCCTGTCCTGACAACAGCAGCCTAACCGAAAAAAATCAAGCTATGTCTTTTTGTTACTGATCTCTGTTCTCTGTGTCACACCACTGACCTGGCAGAGTTAAGGGCGGGGCACGGTAGGGGTCAGGTGGGGCGACTGGTGGCGAGTAACTCTTAAGGCCTGGCTAGTAGCTCAGGACTTGAAATTTTGAGCCCTGTTCTAAAGTCATGCTGGGGTTGTCCTAGATTTCTCTGGGAGCTCCAAAACTCAGGGTTCTAATAAGCAAATACCAACTGCCAATAACAATGCTGGACCAATGACAAGGCATGGTAATAAGAAAGAGGTGGGGCCAACTTTTGACTTCCTAAAAGTCAAGAGTTGGCCATGATACAGTACTCCAGGCCTACAGACTTACACGTTACTGTAGGACAAGCTGATACACCGCTCATTTCCATTCTGCTGCTTATATGCTGATAAATATGTACATATTTTCTTTAAGGGAGCTTTTTTACTTACAGGTTGATTTAACCAGTCCAATCCTGAGTCCCTTTAATTAAACCAAACCTAAACCCTGGCATGAGCCCTGCTTCTTCATAGACATTTCTCTAACCAAGCCCCTTCTCTTTACAAGTGTCTAAATCTTTCCTGCATATTGGTGGTCAAGCAGTCCTAGCGGAGCAGTATCCCCTCTGTTTTCTATTAGATTGTTTAACAGGAGAAATAGTTCACTGATCATCATGTTATCTTTCATAGGGTAGCTATAAACCAGTAATGCAGCTACAAAAGCCAAGTCTATTTCCTTAGCACAGATTATAGAAACTGACGACAGAGCATAGACTGAACATCCAAATTCGTTTGTTTAATAATGTATACATAAAGATTGTATTTTTGGAGTTTTTGCACTGTTTGGAAACAACATCCATAAACTGGAATGTTTCTATAATTCTTGCTCTGAAACTGCCCTTGTTTCTACAAGAAAACTCTCAGGCTTCTTTTTTAGCCCAATTCTCTCTATCGCCCAAAGTTCTAGATAGGGCTTGTAATACCCAAATATTCATCTTGAAAAACATACCTTGCTGTCTCCAGTCATTCCTTTCTCATAATGTGCAAGTGCATTGACATAGTCACCTCTGCAACATAAACATTAATCATTACACATGACAACACAGAAATAAGAAAACATTTAACAAGATGATTGCCAGTAATTATTACAGAGAGGAAGCATGGAAAAGTGAAATGAATATTTATTGTACATGGATGTCTAATAGGCCGCACAGTCAAATAAGCTGAAAACTAGTCAAAAATGATCAATTACACTTTGCGGCAGATGTGGATTATGACTAATCATACAGTTTGTAGAAGAAACGGAACATCAGAATATATAGTAACTGCCTTTGTAAGCACCTACCATGTATTAGATTAATATTCACTGTACACTTAAAACCTAACATACTGTATGTCCAAAAAAACGGTGTGAGGCAGTGAATATTAACTGAGCAGGGCATGCTTCTATGTAGATATGCACGTGGAAAAATGCGTTAACAAACAAATAAAAAATGTATTGTAACTTACTATGCTGGCTGCATTAGGTTTCTTCTTTTTAGTCCTAGGGTGACCGGCTTCCTGGCCAATCAGCATAGAGTTGGCTTCCCAGCCAATCAGCATAGAGCCGGCTTCCAGGCCAATCAGGAAGCCGGGCGGCAAGTCATTACCCGCTGCCTGGCCTCCTGATTGGCCTGGGAAGCCGGCTCCATGTTCCCTCGCGGCACTGCCGGTCAGAGGAAGTCTCCCTCTGACAGGAAGTTCCGGTATCAGGGGTAGGTATCAGAGCATTTTGGCAAGTGCAAGTACTTACCCAAATATTTGGTATTGCAAGTACTTGCCCCATACTAGTATCAGTGCATCCCTAATAGAGACACATCAAAAAAGTGCTCTTCTGATATATACTATACATACACAAAAGCACATATAACTCTAACATACACAATTTTTCAGTAAAAAGTATTTATTATTAGAAATGTTATCCTAAATGAAATAATTCAATACGAGGACTCACGTGAATTCCAGCTGTATGGCGTATTCTTTTGATATGAAGGGTATCTGGTTGGGAGCCAGGCGTTTTGCAAGTTGTAGGGCACTATCCCAATGCTGCAAGTCTCGTCTGACCTAAAGTCAATACACAACCAGAGTTATACATAATGTCTTGTGTTCATACAGAAAAGGACTCAATAGCAGGATTCTGGATAATGTTATACACCAGTGCAAGGGATAATATACCCTTCTCCACACAATACAAAACAAAAAGTGATGGGAATGTGGGGCTGACTGACTACCTGAAGTGTCAGGGGTTTCCTTGACAAAATGGTCTGACATCCGGTCATAATTGCAGGTTTTCTATGGCTGCTGAAGGTATATGCACAGCTAGGTGTCAGCACTTTATACCTGTGGTAACTTTAGTTTTTGAGACAGACTCTTCAAGACTTATACACTAGTGAACTTACTTCAAGTGCACATATAGGACTGCTGGAAGCTAGGTACAGGTCCTGTGCTAAGTTGAAGTCATTAGTGAACATGGCAAGATGGCCAGCCAGGAGATTGTGATCCTCAATTCCCTGCGAAGAAAAGACATCACATTATTAAAACAAAGACACTTCAGTAACTGCTGTACTTTTCTCTTGTATTAGGCATTTCATCCTATAAAATATACTGTTTACACATACACACATACAAAGAAAACCCTGGTCCTGTGTGTACAAGCTGGGCTAAGGATCCAAGGGGTTGCACTGGGATACAGGAATCGATCAGAAGACTATGCTCCACCCGATTACTATTTCTGATTGGTACACAGGGAACAAATGAGTATTTACGTGTAATGCTTTGATTACCCTAAAACTGTCTGCACTTACTTTGATAGTGAACCTGGTTTAGTTATTTAGTAAATCAACCCCATTGTGAGACAATTCATTGTATGGCGACAGAAAAACAGTAGTTTAAGATGGGTGGTGCTTGTGGAGGTCAGGGATGGTATGAACCCCAATATAACCCTACATCAGAGGGAGAGATGTTTTGTATTTTTAAACTAAATGCTGTAAAACCTACTGGGTATGACAAAGAATCTACTTTCAAGAACATCCTCTGAAATTGTATTGTATTTCTCTGTACATCGATCAAGTTTGTGCACGTCTGTGTTTCTAGTTTATAAAGAGGTTTGTATCCTCATTTGACTTAAAGTGACATTAAACCCTCAGATTTTTTTAACATAAACCAATACTGTAATGTGTGCCTTACTGTAATCCATGGTAGTTTCCCTTCTCTTTGCTGCTCTTCCTTTTAAATCTGTATCTGTTCTCATGCTGGGCAGAACTTCTGTTTTGCAGTAGACTGCCTTGTCTCTGGCATGGCTACATGGTGTCTGTGTGTAGGTTTGCAACCTGAGCCAGCACTACAGGAAGAGGCACTCAGCTGCAAAGGGAAGTTCTCCCCAAGCATGAGAAGACATGAGGATTTAAAAGGAAGAGCAGCAAAGAGAAGGGAAACTACCATGGATTACAGTAAGCCACACATTACAGTATTGGTTTATGTTAAAAAATCTGAGGGTTTAATGTCACTTTAATCACTCGAAAAAGGCATATCTGTCATAAACATTTTGCATCATTAGCTGTAATATTAATAAGTGGGATGATCCCTCAGCACTCACTCTTCATGTATCTGAAAAGCAATATTGGTGAATTAGACTTAGACATTGCTAAATTAAACGAGACATGAGGAATAGATAGTGCCTTCCATTGTAGACCTTCTTCTAAAAATTCTTCTTGCCTATCTTTTATGAGGTGGTGATCTCCTGCCTTCATACAGCCTGAGTCACTGACCCTGCACATCAGAAAAATCAAAATACAGTCGGACATTCTCACCTGCATATTTGTCATGGTTCAGTAAATCAAGAGTGTTAGGCCACGTTCACACCTGACCTTTTTGTAGCGCGTCCTACGCCCGACGAACGCTCTACAAAACGGTCAAAAATATAAGTTGCATTGTAGTCAATGCCCTCGTTCCCACCTTGCCGTATTTCCGCCCGTCCCTAACGCCCTACAAAATGGCCCACGCCTGAAAAGGTCCAGGTACTACTTTGGGCCGTTTTGTAGGGCGTTTTCCATTGGGATACAGCCAAGTAGCCTTTGGAATCGCGCGACCGGCGCGCGTTTTTTTTACCGCGAATCGCGGTAAAAAAAACGCGCGACAGACGCGCATATTACAATTCGCCTAGGTGTGAATGGGGGCTTAATGTGACAGCCAAGCAATTAACATTTTCAGAAGGAGAGGTTAGCGATGGTAGTTTCCATGTTTCTCTCTTGACAGGTTTTCTTTAATAACATGACATTTGTATAATATACCTTTATCTGTTCTAGTGACATCACCATGCCCACATTCCCAATCATCCTATATACGCGTATTGCAAATTCCACCTCCATGTGGTGCAGACAGGCCCGAGCAAGCTCATTCCAGCTGTCCTCTAAATTCAACGAACTGCAGATTTCCCAGGAATCCAAAAACCTAGCCCAGGAGCAGGCAGAAAGAACAGGACAATAGAGAATATAAGCATTATATTTACAGTCAGCTCCTTGTGGCAATCTGGGAATTTCATATTTTTGCCACAACTGATTTAAAAGAAAGTCTTTTCCCAGTACACATTTGTCCTTTTATATGTCCCAGAAAAGCAATGCATTCCCATGTTATACAAGTTACATGTTGTTTTCTAACCTTCTATGGGCATTTTCATGTAAAGTGGAACTCTGGCCGGTTTTATAGTTGTAGACAGAATGGGTGATAAGGATTAGAATCTCTGCTGGACAGTTCCCACTGGAAAATGTTCCTCTTGCTATCTGTTCCAGCAACTTTCCCAACAGAAATATAGACAATAATTTCAGGTTCTGTACCTTACCTACTCAGCAAGAAAAAAACAAGTTTTTCCTGTTTTGGTGTTTTTGTAAGGATCCCCTGTTCTACTGGAACAGGAATTGAGGAAAATCCGGACCAAAGGCCACAAAGACAGCATTAAAAAATGGTCAGAGGTTCCAATCCTTTCCTGTTTTATCTAACACTAAATAAAAAACATTTTTGATCAGAGTTCTACTTTAATATTTATCAAAAGCCAGCGTTTTTATTGAAAAATGTGTTTTATAAACACATTAAGATATGAAATAACAAGGGAATTTAGAAGTTATTCATGTACCAGACCCTCCATCACACTTGTTACTCTCCTCTTTTGACCCCGTCACCACAGAGGAGGTTACAAAGTTTCTCTCTAACATCCGCCTCACCACTTGCCCCTTGGACCCTGTTCCCTCACCGCTACTTCGGTCACCCTCTTGCTCTATCCTAGACTCTCTTGCTCACATTTTCAATCTCTCACTCTCTACTGGAATCTTTCCCTCCCCTCTGAAGAATGCCCTGGTCACCCCAATTCCCAAAAAACACTCAATGGACTCTATCGACCTCAATAATCTCAGAGCAATCTCCTTACTCCCATTCCCCTCCAAACTCCTAAAACGCCTCATCTACAGTCGCCTAAGTCGCCACCTCACTGATCACAACCTTCTCGACCCCTTACAATCTGGCTTTCGCCCCCTACACTCCACTGAAAACGCCCTCCTAAAACTCACTAATGACCTACTCACTGATAAAAGCAAAGGCCACTATTCCCTACTCTTGCTATTAGATCTTTCTGCTGCTTTTGACACTGTTGACCACCTGCTCCTCCTCAAAAAACTCCTCTCGCTTGGCCTACAAGACTCTGCTCTCTTGTGGTTCTCCTCCTACCTATCTAAGCGCACCTTTAGTGTCACCTAAAAATCTTACTACTCCCCTCCTCTTTCTGTAGGGGTCCCCCAAGGCTCTGTCCTTGGACCCCTTCTCTTCTCCATCTACACCTCCTCCCTTAGTCAGTTAATAACCTTGCATGGCTTCCAATACCATCTCTATGCCGATGACACTGAAATCTATCTTTCTACTCCACAACTCACCCCTTCTGTGTCCTCTCGTGTCACTAATCTACTAACTGACATATCCGCCTGGATGTCGCAACACTTCTTAAAACTCAATCTTTCAAAAACTGAGCTCTTGATATTTCCTCCTGCCTGTGCACCTTCCCCCAACTTTTCCCTTGAGATTGTTAACACAACTATCCACCCCTCCTCCCATGCCAAGGTCCTAGGTGTCATCCTTGACTCGGACCTCACCTTTCTTTCCCATATCCAATCACTATCCAAATCCTGCCGCCTTCACCTTCCTAACATCTCCAAAATACGCCCCTTCCTCACCAAGGAAACCACAAAACTACTCATACACTCCCTTGTTATATCTCGTCTTGACTATTGCAACTCCCTCCTCATTGGCCTACCTCTACACAGGCTATCCCCCCTTCAGTCTATCATGAATGCAGCTGCCAGGCTCATTCACCTAACCAACCGCTCAGTGTCTGCAACCCCCCTCTGTCAATCCCTACACTGGCTTCCACTCGCCCCAAAGGATACAATTCAAAATATTAACAATTGCTTACAAAGCCATCCACAACTCTGCCCTCGGCTATATCTCAAACCTGGTCTCAAAGTATCACCCTAACCGTCCACTCCGCTCTTCCCAAGACCTCCTGCTTTCCAGCTACCTTGTCAACTCCTCCCATGCTCGCCTCCAGGACTTCTCTGGAGTCTCTCCCATACTCTGGAATTCTTTACCCCAACCTGTCCGTCTGTCGCCACATTCACTGCTTTTAGGCGTTCCCTAAAGACTCATCTCTTCAGGGAAGCTTATTCCACCTCAACCTAACCGCTCAACCATCAAGTTCTCAAACAATTCATCCCCACACAGCTCCCTTCTCATGTATCACTTCCCCCTCCCTTTTAGATTGTAAGCCCTCAGGGGCAGGGCCCTCCTTACCATCTTGTCTTGATTTGTATTGCGATTGTAATGTCTTCCCTATATTGTAAAGCGCTGCGCAAACTGTTGGCGCTATAGAAATCCTGTATAATAATAATAATCTTGAGTGTTTCTGGAAGTTCTTCTAAAATGCTGGCACTGTGTATATGTAACCATTTTTGTGCTAGAACAGATAAGGACGTAATATATATATATATACTCACACTGTCGAAATATAATACTAATGTTGTCAATGGCGATAAATTAAAATTAGCTATCGTTTTACTAGCCCGACTTAAACCGAATTTTGATTAGCTGGTACAGTCAACACCATTATTTTGCCTGCATTAGCTTTATATGGATGTTCCCCAAATGTAATTTACTAATGATAACAGTAGGATTAAAAACACTGCTTTTATTCTTTTCATTAGGTGTTTTCACATAAAGCGAAGACTGGCATATAGAGAATTATTACAGGCTGACTCCAGGAATCAGAAACAAATAAGGAATATATAAAAGGCCCAGCAGAGAAAATCAGTTTGATATTCAGCACCAATGTATTATCCTGGTGAACTGAAAGGCGTGATTACTAATAAACAGTTATTTGTCTAGTCCTAGATCATTTCTTTCCACAGAGTGTGATGTTCCTGCTAGATTCTTCCTAGTCTCTCTGTTATTGTCTTACAGTATACTGTTTTCTGCAATAAGGATAAAGGGACATGAACATATTGACTGACAATGGGGAGAACTGTGTATATAGTGAAGGGCCTTTGGGCTTGTGTCTATGGCATCAGTATGAGACACTTCTAAGATTATTCAGAATTCATTGACAGGTGCAGTTAACCTCCTTCTGAGTTGCATTTAACCCGCTTCAAGTGAATTTTGCATTGCCATAGTCTTGTATGGAAATACAAAACCCATTGAGGCAAACAAAATTCCATCGACACAGACCCTAAATTCTGTCTCTGAAGAGTGAAACACACCCATCTTTCTATATCCTATTAACTCTTAGGGTGTGCATAAGGTGTGGAAAATAAGCACCTCCAGTTGCTGCTCGCCCTTTTCTATACAGGGAAACTGCCCAATCTGCTGCAAAATTTCTCTGGTAGCAGGCTCAATCCCTGACTCTATTTTGGCTCAGAAGAAAGGTAATACGTGGGAAGTTCTGTGCTCTAATACATGAGAACTGGCAGATATTGCTCTGCTCATCATTCCTGGCCAGCCTCAGCAATCTCCTTAGTGTATTATTTTGCCTGCACAACCCTTCAAGTTGAGGTTTTTCCGTGTTTATCTTCTCTTCTTAGGACAGCAAGCACTCCAACTGTTATTAATGGCAATCACTGAAAAGGATAAAAGTTGAGATGCTGGGGTCCTACCTTCTCAGCATTAAAGTCTGTGTTAGCATCTTTTTCAGCTCTTTGGGCTCTGCATCCTTAATATTGTTCAGGAAATTGTGCGTACTTAAATAGATATTATTCAGCATTCCGCTCTGAGTCTGACTGGTCAGCTCTCCGTTGTGCAAGAGAACTGGTTTATGGCCATAAGGTAGCTTGGTCCCTCCGGCCAGGATAACCTTGGAGCCTGAAAAATGAAAAAATGTTGGCCTTATACACAACTGCTGGAAGGACAGTGTAAATCTCATGACTTTCAGAAGCCGTAAAATACAGGAAGTGGCCAATACCAGCTCTGCCAACCTCATCAGATATGACATGCTGAATGGGCAAAAACAAAATTCTAGTTTGTTTGCATGCACAGGTGACATGAAGGTTTGAGAAAGTAAACCTCTGCTGAGAGATATCTAATTAAGTGACACTAAACTCAGGAGTTAAATCTTAAAATTGCATTCAAGTACCTTAACTATTAACAAAAATTTATTTTATTTGTGTATCACTCGGCTGTAGATCGTCAAATCATCCCTGAATTGGTGCCGACACTGTCCCTTCCTTTTGGAGGGTGGCTACTTGGGTTCCCCATGGTTCCTGTTTCTGTTGTAAAGTAGCTACCAGTCCAAGCTCGCTCCCATGATGCACTACAATCTCACGTTTAGATTACTCATTTCTATTGAGATTGTAGTCCATAAGGGGAGCGAGCTTGAAGCAGGGACTACTTCACAACACGCACAGGGACCATAGGTGACAAAAGTAACTACCCTCCAGAAGGAAGGACAATGCCATTACAATTCAGAGATGATTTGTGGATCTGCAGCTTACAAATCAGATACATTTTTGTTAATATTTAGGGTACTTGAATGCATTTTTAAGATTTAAATTCCAAGTTTAATGTCACTTTAAGGCTTAAAGAGGCTTTAACGGCCACTGACCTAGTACAAGTATACAGATTAGGATTTCTGACTTCACTCACTGCACACTTGTTCTGGGTTGGCGTCTCAGAAACGACTGAAGCCAGGGGATTATCATAATGTGTTTTGCCACTTGTCTGCTTATTAACAGCCAGTTCTTTAAATGGAAAATATTATAGTACTGAATTTGCTAAGCTATATGCATATTTTAAATTCCGATAGTGTTTAGAGAAGTTTATTTAATATTGAGCACCATACGTATCATTTTACAAATCATTTTCACACTTCAAATGCGTCACAGTCCATGAACAGAATTCATTTTGCAGATACATCTTCATTTATGAAGACTGATGATAATTTGACAGAAGAATATAAGAACAAATGTAAAGCATTTTCACCAGGGAACAATTATAATTCTTGTTTAATGTTTTCTAGAACATGAAAGGTTAAGCCTGACAGTTTACTACTCGGAATATTTCCATTCTTCTAGTTCTAATTGTTCAGTCCCGGTATGTAGTACCTTAATGGGGAAAAGAATACCTAAGGATGTACCTTGTATGGTGTCCTTGTGAAAGACGTATGTAAACACCTTGTCATCATCAAAGGCACAGAAGACCCCTTTATCCACTGCCCAGTTTTCCCAAAGAATGCCTTTGATGGTTGGGGAAAAGTTTGGAATCTCGTACAAATTATCATTTTGCTGAAAAATGCAAGGAAACAGAGTAAATGACATAATCCAGAGAACTTTCTGATCTTTATACCAGATGTGTTTTTTTTGTTACTTTCACATAAGAGTATCAACATACTATTGTCCTATAACACCAATGGTCAGTTTGTCATTGTCCTGGGAACCCAGAAGATAAATTCTAAGTGAAACCCAGTAGAATGAATAGTATGCCTGGTAACATTGGAACTCAAAACATATACTTCATTCATCAGCATTTTCCTTGTTTACTTCATGACACAATTGTCGGCATTTGTAACTGAGGGTCAGGACCATCAGGACCAATTCAGTCTAGAAGACTAGCACTTACCTGAACACATCACCCTGTCCAAACATTCCTTACATGCGAATTACAGATAATTCAGGAAACAAATGTTTTATTCTTTCTTCTGCTTTCTTCTCTTAAAGCTGAAGTCCAGGTAGCCAGAGAACATAATTTTATAAGATATATACTCACTAAAACCATGAAGGGGCTGATCTGCAAAGGTTTTTCCCAGCAATTAGCTGGGTGAACACTGTTTGCAAAGCATTGCTGCCTCTAGTTTGAGCTAGAAGACCATAGGAGTTTCCTTTGCTCCTCTGCACCATCTGGCAGCTTTATACCGCTAGCATAAATTTGTAAATCTATCCGGATATCAGCTTACTGTAATGTTCTGCACAGCTTTAATCCCAACAGCCTGAACACATTTGGGGAGAAAGCAAAGTGATGCAGTTTCTCCTTTACTCCACAGGTTGGGGAAAGCTGGTGACCAACCTGTTTTTTTTTAATTGCAGTACAGAAAAGTGGTGTCTCCGACCTGGTTATGCTTTCTACCAGGTGTGCCTGGATCACAAGACCAGCTGAACACAAGTACAGTTCCTTTGGGCAGGTAAACATGTTATGAATATGTATTTCAACAGGTTAATTAGCTCCTCACCTGGATTTCAACTTATCAATATTATTTCGTACTCCCTGAAATAAATCAGTGTGAGATAGGCACATGTACTGTATGACACATTACTACTTACTGGGCAATACACAAAGCCTTCAGTCTTCTCATCGATTAAAACTAATCTTGTTCCAGATGTGTCAGGAAAGATCTTTCGTACACTGACTGGGTGTCGGTATTCATTGACATATTGCCAGTCTTCCAGGTAAAAATACTTTACAAACCCAGTCTATAGAAAAGGAGAACAGATTTGAAACTAGTTACGACTAAGAGAATTGCATGGTCATTCGCTTTACTATATTCTAGTAAGACATTACATTTGTGCATCTCACGCAACTTCATGATAAAGTAATTACAAATCCTAGCTTAGCACAATGTAATATAAACATATATTACTTTATATTATATTATATATAAATATAAAGTAATATATTAGGAGTGGATGAACCTCAATGGCCAATAAGGGAGCTCACCTTCAACAGGGAGACAGTGGATGAGCTGAGCTTAACTCCAGAGAGGAGACTTAAATGCTTAAGCCACGTTACACCCATATTCAGGGTGTAACATGAAATATGGTCATATCTACAGCAGCAGCCCTCCCACTTACCTCCCTACCTCTCCCTGTAGGCTCCAGTCACTATTTGAATTTGATGCAGCAGTGCAGGCGATCGATACACATATACTTTGTGAGGATCTGTAAATGCAGAAACTGCGAGTCTTGTCAGCCACTGTGGCAGAGGGACTTGCAGTTCCCAATGGAATACAAGTGCAGTGACATCCCTGCACTTGAAGTCCATTCATTCTTTCTCCCTTCCCTGTTACTGAATATCTGGGAAGAAGCAGCTGCAGGAGCTAGAGCATTGCAACCACAATCCGCTGGTTCCAATGCAAAAAAAATAGTTAATGTACATTTTTCCTTTCATGAATGTGTGTGCATTTATTATAAATTTTCTAAAAGATGGAATTGCCTTTAAGCAGATGGAACAAAGTGAATGGAGGAAGGCTAACAGAGAAGGCTTTGCTAGTTAGACAGCAGGCACCTTGTTGTAACTGTTGTTTTTAAAAGTTTAAAATGGCTAAAGGTTCACCTTAGTGCATTCACTTATCAGACATTTCAGATATGAATGTGGATATTTTAAAGGCAATGTATATTGGTTTTGCTATATGAGTGAGGAAAGTCTAAATTTCTACAGAAACAGCAATACCAATGACAGGGGTTCTAAACCTTGCCCACTCTATTTAAAACGAAAGAAACTTTTAACTTTACCATCGCTTTTGAGGGATTCATTAGAAAGTCATTGAAATGTATTTGAGTCCTATAGCAGCCACATTACTACCTTAAATATTTCTAAATGGCTTGAAAATGAAGCATTGGCACCTGTTAGGCTGGTCTAGGCTACATATTGTATATGGTCCTATCTTCCAGCTTAATACGCTGACATCTCTGACAAAATTTCAAAGCTTTTTTTATGTATACTCATTAAGACTCTGCTAACTGTCATCTTCCACACAACAAATCCTTACTTTCAGACACATCTAAATTCCTTGTTAGAATCATTTTTAGCAAAAATGCAAAAACTGTATTAAAAAAAGAAAAAAAAAATTACATTTGTTCCATAGATAAGGAAATCTCCAGTCAATGAATGGCACAGTATCCGATACTTCTCATCAGCAGATGGGAACAGACGAGTCTCCCGCTCTTCCTGAGCTTCTAGAGATTCACCCTCAATCTGGGGGAATTCAGAAATTATTATTTTTTTTTATTATTTATGAAAAGTAGTATGTGATGATATGATTACACAATAAAGAAATCAAATCAGTTGGCAGACTTCACTATAATTTCCAGTGTAAACACCTAAGCAGGCATCAACAATTTGTGAACAGGGCCGGGTTTGTCAGGCATATGTAGCAATGCACAGAAAGCTCACCTGTTTTCAGATAAGCCAATTCTCCAGCAGTGCACAATCCAGAGTTCCTCCCCGCTTGAAGATCTCAGAAAAGTTGATCAGCACTTCCAGCATTTATCATTTAAATATCATTTATTATCTTTAGGGATGCACAGATACTTTTCGAGTACCATGCAGATACTTGGCATTTTCATGAGAACTACCAGGGTTGCAGAGGTTGCAGCTGAGACCTGGCTCTGGCGCTCCACCACTGTCCTGAAATCATTAGTCTGTATTGATTTAGAAAAACACATGACAATAACCAAAAATGTATCAGTACTTGTACTTGTAAGTACTCGGCAAGTACCAGTACTCGTACTCGCAAAACTGGTATCTGTCCATCACTTTATTTAGCCCTCGTTCACACCTGAACGTTTTGTAGCGCGTTCTACGCTCGACGAACGCCATACAAAACGCTCAAAAATATAAATCCCATTATATATAATGGTCTCGTTCCCACCTTGGCGTATTTCCGCCCGTCCCGAACGCGCTACAAAACGGCCCACGCCTGAAAAGGTACAGGTACTACTTTGGGCCGTTTTGTTGCGCGTTTCCATTGGGATACAGCCAAGTAGCCTTCGGAAACGCGCGGCGGTCGCGCATATGCAATACGCCTAGGTGTGAACGAGACCTTATAATTATAAAATCATACATTGGAACAGAGATGTACAAATCCCAGGAGCTCAGTGTGCTCCTTACAAATGACAGCTGCCTCCTAATTTTTGAATTTATCTCTAGTCTAGTCTTGGAGCTCAAAAGTATCGGTACATGTACTCGTACTTGTACCGAGTACTGTACTTGTTATCTGTGCAACCCTAATTATCTTCAAAGTTAAAAACAGCCATCATCCATGTTTTCCCTATTGATTCATAGCCTAACTCTGGCAGTAATATTTAGTTGCAAGCTAACATTATTCAGTTTTTAGCTTTGCAGATAATAAAAATAACATTTTATTAAGAATAATTTATGCTGAAAGTGCTGATTAACTTTTTTTGATATGCTACATTGCACTGTTTGCTAAGTTATCACCACCACCTGGTTGATCTCCCACTACTTTGTAGCCACACAGACACAATTACAAAGGTCCACCTGAGAAGTGCATGTACAGAGGGTGAGGCCAGGCGGCAAGCCTAATTTTCCAGCTATGAAACACACATGTTAAATGGAAAACTGAAATTAGCCAATCACAAAGGAGCAACTCTCATCAGTCCCTGCAGAGAAGCAGTGCATGCAGAGAACTTTTATATGTCAAGCCCTGTCCCTATGACACCAGAATTAGGGAAAGTGGTACTGTAGTTATAGAACAATAAAAATAATTTAGGCAATTGCAGTTTTGAATCGCTTTAAAATATGGTATCTATCTACTGGTTATACTTTTAGGATTACACCGTTTGAAAGTACATTTTACATTTATTTCATAAAGTGCATTCCAACTGCATAGTCAGTAGATAATTAGATGGTATCCTCACCATATGAAGCTGCACTTTACCCTCAAACAAGGCAGCAGCATAATCAGAATTTAGGTTCATGCTTGCAATAGTCCCCAAGTATTCCATGTCCTTCAGCTTCTCTACACCTGCACAGGGAAGAAAATGAGATATTTATTTATTTATTTATTACAGGTATGTGTATACACCTATACAGGTATGTGCAATATATAGCACCAACAATTTCCATACTGTATATTCACATCAGTCCCTGTCCTAAAGGATCTTACAATCTAAGGTCCCCATCTCACATACATACATACACACACACACACACAAACACCGCTATTAGGGCCGATCTAGACATGAGCCAATTAACCAACCCTCATGTCTTTAGAGTGTGGGAGGAAACCGAAGTTGCTGGATGAAACTCCAACAAGCAAAGGGACAACATGCAAACTCCATGTAATTATTTTAGGATGTATATTAAAAGGACATTTTAACGGAGGGCGCTAGTGAGCAGCCAAGCAAGATGGCTGCGTGCTGAGCTGGCTCCACAACACACAGACATGGGACATGTTGTTTGAAGCACTAGAAGGGGTTTATTCACAGTACCCATTGAAGAACAAACGTTCGCTGTCGTCCGCCGGTCAGCAGGGCTGATTGAGGGATCTCCGGTGATGCGGAGAGGTGCAATGGGGAAGAGCACTATCAATGCGAAGCAGACACCGATGAACCTGGCTTCGTTTACTTCCGTGACGCAGTCCACACCGAGGCTGTCAGTGGTACCTCCGCCGCAGCCTCGGGCTTCCACGCCAGAGCCGACAGACGCTATGGAGCACTCCCAGAGTGAAAGTTCCCTTCCCCAATTATCGATTGAACAACCAGCAGAGGTAACATGCAGAGAGGCAGAGCTATTAGAGAAATAAGATACTGTTGCAAAGGGAATTACAGACTGCTACAGATAAATTAGCCTCTCAATTATCCAGAGATATTAAGGAGTTGGGATCTAGGATACATGAGGTTGAGACGAAAATGGATGATGTTATTACTGTGATAGAGGCACATGAACATGATTTAGATGTTGTAAAAATGGATCTCTCCCTGGCTTTACTAAAAATAGAAGACTTAGAGAATAGAAGCCGACGGGGTAATTTGCGGATCCGTGGGATCCCAGAACAGGTGGAGGATCTTGGGGCCGCTATTGCCACATTGCTTTCAGAGTTACTCCCAGGATATTCCATAGAAAAACTCGAAATGGATCGTGTACACCGGTCTTTGGGGCCTAAGCGGGCTGACGGAACCCAGAGAGATGTTATTTTGAAACCAATGTTTTATAAAACAAAAGCAGCTATAGTACAAGCGGCATGGGCCAAGTGGTCTCTTAAGTTTCAAGATTACAATTACCAAATATATGCGGACCTCGCCCCTCAAACTTTACAACGCCGCAGGGCTCTGAAACCATTTTTGACAGTATTACAGCAACATGTTATCAAATACAAGTGGGGGTACCCGCTCAAAACTCTCTTTAATTACAATAATAGAGCTTACTCCTTTTCTTCTCCTGAAGAAGCAGGACTTTTATTGGAACGCTTACAATTAATGGCTAAGAGTACTGAATCGACATCTTAACCTCCGCAATCATTAAGGGAGAAACGCCTAGCTCCATTGTGGGAGAAACATATAAGGAATCGTCGGGGGCAACCTGAGGGACCCTGTTACCCCCAGAGAAATCTAGAGGACTGAGTCTCTAACACAGGAACAAGAAGCTATTTTACTTGGGGTTGACTTTAAGATAATATAGTTATATAAACTATAGTTTGTGGTCCTTTTTTTTGTTTTGTTTTTAGTATCATGTCTTTTGTTTGTTCTTTTATGTGGTCTTCCCTATTTTTTTACTTTAGGACACCGAGATTTTTTTAAGGAGATACTAAGGCTTTTCCCTATGGGGGTTCACTGCGTATTGTCCTGCCCATCTATAAATGGTTACTGCGGAATTCCGTATAATATCACATAATGTACAAGGGTTAAATTCCCCGCAGAAGCGAAGATTGGCATTTAATTTATTTTTCCTCACTTCACTTCAGGCAAATGTGGTCAACAGGAAACAAGGCTCTATAGTTCCTTTAAACAAAAATATATACATAAAAATTATTCCCAAATTTTTCAAGCTAACTTTCTAGAAAAAAAGAGGAGTGTTGATAGCATTTCATAAAAATACACCATTCTCTTGTTCTTTGGAGATAGCTGATCCAGCAGGGAGATACTTCATTTTAAGAGGCAATATTTTGGATACTGTAGTAACGTTTGCTACATATTACGCTCCGAACACTAGACAAACACATTTTTTTCTCACATTTTTTAGGAGTAGTTGAAAAGCATTCACAAGTCACTTTGTTGATGATGGGATATTCCAATCTGGTGTTAGATAGTAAATTAGATAGATCGGAATGCCGACCAGCACTCTCCACTTCTATTGTTCACTCCACTCTTTTTTGCACAATGTTATCTGAACATAATTTGATTGATATTTGGAGGGGCACGTATTCTCTCAATCAGTTGGTCAGACCACTCTCCTCTTTTGATAAATTGTGCCTCCTTCTCCCCTATTTCTCCTAAATTTAATTGGAGATTGAATGATTCTCTCCTTACTTTTACCGGATCTGCACAACAGATACAAATATCTCTTTCCTCCTTCTTCAGGGAAAATTAAGGTTCGGTTTCATCCCCATATCCCTGTGGGAAACCCACAAAGTAGTTATGCGGGGATAGCTTATCGGTCTGGCCACAAGAAGGAGGAGAGAGAGAAATAAGAACATTTTGGACCTTACTTCCATTTTGGACCTTACTAAGTTGAAGAATTTGGAGTCTGAATGGAGAATTAATCCTAGGGACTCTATCAGGAAAGAGATTGGCTCTGTTAAAACAGAGATTAATCTTTTACTGAACGATGAGGCTGAGAAACAGATCCGATGGTCTAAACGCATGTTTTATGCATGCGCAAATAAATTTGGGTCAATGATGGCAAATATGTTGAAAGCAAAACCAAGGACGCCAAATCCGATTAGACTTCGTCTGTCGGATGGTTCAATAACCGCTAATCCTGCTACTATTGCTCCCAGATTTAATTATTTTCTCTCTCAGATATATGGTAAATCTTCTGGGTTTCAATCTCATTTTGCGTATCGAGTATTGTCAAAGGTGTTATTAACTTCTCTGACCGAACATATGATATCTATAATGGATGCAGACATCACGATTTCTGAAATAATACAAGCTATTAGTTCCCTGAAGACACATAAGACACCAGGCCCGGACGGGTTTTCAGCTTTATATTACAAAAAATGTTCAAATAGTTTGGCACCCCACTAAGTGGTACTATTTAAGCACCTGAAAGAAGGTTCCGGATTTCATCCTTCCTCTTTTTTAGCCCATATAGTGATGATCCCGAAAGCAGGGAAGGATAGTTTAGACCCTCATAATTACAGACCAATTTCTCTATTGAATATAGACAATAAATTACTTTCAAAAATATTAGCCACATGTTTAAATCAATTTTTGCCCATTCTTATTCACCGAGACCACGTGGGTTTGGTTCCTTGTAGACAAGCACCAGATAATACCATAAAATTATACACCTTATACACTATATGCATATTTCAAAAATTTCAGGCATGTTAAAATCTCTAGATTTGCACAAAGCGTTTGATTCTATTTCGTGGGATTACTTATTTTATATTTTGAACAAATGGGGATTCCCCAATAGTTTTTTAGCTTGGTTACAGAATTTATACCTCTGCCTCGGTCCGATACCTACATGATATTTCGTCCACATTTTGGGAGGAACTCGTCAGGGGTGTCAACTGTCTCCACTTATGTTTGCCCTAGCTATGGAACCTTTGGCTTGTCTTATCCATATTAAGGGAGACATAAAGGGAGTAGGTAAGGGGCCTATAGAATACAAACTCCATATGTTTGCTGATGATATAATGCTAACATTAACCAATCCACATATTTCTCTTCCTAACCTTTTTCCTGATTTAAAGTCCTTTGAAACGATTTCTAACTTTAAGGTTAACGAGACTAAATATGCTGAAAATATGGGACAGTACGAGATACTACAGTAAACTTCCGTTACTTCCCCTGGCGGGTAACCCTCTATTTATACCGGGACTGGAAATGCCCAACGCATTTGCCTGGTGGACCTCCAAAAAAGTATTGTACCTTCATCATTTGATAGGACAGTTTTGCTCGTCCATGGACGTGCTTTCAGAATAATTTGCAAGCTCCAGCTACTGAATATTTTAGATACTTACAACTTAGACACTGGGTCTCCTCGGTGTTGTCCAGGGACTCATCTCGACGGGAATTGACTACTTTTGAAAACATTAGCTTGAATTACCCTAATACTCCTAAACTTATTTCATTACTCTATTCTCATTTGAATAGACTACAAACTCCAGGTAGTCATAGATATGTACAGAAATGGGAAAGAGATTCGGTTTCCACCAAGCAACCAAGGGAATGGAGTCAAATTTGGAGTTCAGTAGCTACTAGCTCTATTTATGTAATTTCGCTGGAAACTGCATTTAAATCTCTGACAAGATGGTATTTGGTGCCCTCCATGCTGAACCACCTCCACTCGTCACACTCTGACCTCTGTTTTCGAGGATGTGCGTCGAGGGGAGATGTTGACCATATTTGGTGGACATGCCCAAAATTAGATTTTGGGCCAAAGTTTTTCAACTAATTTACGATCTTCTTTCAGTTAACATTGAGATTGATCCTTGGCTGGCCTTATTACATTTTAAACCACCCTCTATAACAAACTTATAGCATAAACTGGTAGTATATGTTATGCTGGCAGCTAAACAGGCCATCGCCTGTGCCTGGAAGAAGCCATTCGTCCCCTTTAGGGAGGTTAAAAGAAAAATGGATTCCTTCTTTCTTAATGAAAAATTAACTAGTATCCTGCTGGACACTAAAAAAAGGTTTGGGAGGATATGGCAACCCTGGATCGCCTGTGCACATCCATTACTTTCTGTAGAAAGTGTGACACTCCTGTAATGGTTATATTATTTTGAACTGTGAATGTCAGTTAGATTGGATGTGAAACTTTTAGATTAATGTGAATGACCATTTTATATAATCTAAACCTTGGTGTCTTCTTTTCCCTTTTTATGTTGTCCTTGTGATTTTATGTAACAATGTTTAGAAAATTGGCTCACGGGGAAGTTTTTAGTGTTTTTCCTTGTTGGCTATTAGGGTCAATGTTTTTTTGTATGTAAATGTCTTTTGTGGTATTGAAACTAATAAAAAATGTTGAAATAGAAAAGGACATTTTAAAAATGATGTAATTATTTAAATAATAAATCATAAAGGTATATTGCTGGAAACGCATGATTATCCTGTATAGGGAGGAGAGAGATATCAATAACTCCTTGCTGCATTTTTCTTAGTCACTGCTGCTCAAGTCCAAGACTGGTTTAAAAAATGAGGATGGGGTGTTGATAATATAAGGGAACCTGTCTGTATAAAAGCAAAGGGACATGGGTATCCAAGAAGTGTACATTATGTTTCTGAAAAGAATTGCACACAGAGCATGTATAAAGCAGAACTAAATGCAGACAGTTAGATAACATATATGGGAATTTGTTTTACCTGCCAAAAGATGTTTTATTCTATACAGTTTTGTGATCCAGCCATGTCTGTTGGGCAGCACAGAGAGGTCCTTAACCTCTACTGTAACAGCAGAAAAGCTTAGTCAAGAGCACCCCCAATCATCTGATTAGACAAAGAGGGAGCAGCAGCACACTGATGTGGTCATCCTTCTGCTTTCTCTTTCTATCATTACTATAAGCAGTACAGCATATTCTGTATGTGCAGCTGAACCTGATTGGCTCATAGTGCGGCTCCTTCCTCTTTAAGGCTAGGTTCACACCAGATGCAGTGCATTGCGGCCTGCTCACTTTTGTGTGGGGCAGGAGGGGGCGTGGTGGGCCATTGAAGTGAATGGCACCATAGCCACGCCCATCAGCCGCAATGCGATAGGCTGCACGGTATCGCAAGGCACATTGTGTCTGCGGTCCGGTGCGATCAAAATGCTGATCACACCGGACCGGAGCACAGGCACAATGTTAGTCTGAATGTTTCTTTGCAGGGAATACCTGATATCTAGACAAATTCAGGTACTTGCACTAATTCCACTTAAAAGTGTATTTATTTTTAATGAATATATTACTATACCAATTGTTGTGTGCTATTATATCTGCCGGGAGTTCTGCTTTAAGTATATGTAATTATAGTTTGCGTTTTCTTGCATAGGGAAAAGATTATCATTATGTGATGTGAGAAAATAATGGGTGGGCAGTGGACAGTGTGATAGTCACATGAGACAATGTAACAGACCATTAAATCGGAGAGACAGACTCATACCGTTCTCGGTCAGAGCATAGAACCAGGCCCGGTTGTTCATTCCAACAGCAACATGATAGGGACCCACAGCCACGAAGTTAGGCTCCACCTCAACAGAAACTGTGATCGGCAGCTCCTAGCCAACAATAAATTGAAATGTAATTAAGTCAAACATCATATAAGACTATTGACATTTATAACTACATCAGTGTAGAACTACATTAGCGCTATCCTTCTGTTTTCACATCAGCCAGCAACAGAACAATAGCAAGCATCTCTGTAAGATGTATTTTATTTGTTGTGACTGATAAACCATCATTTTCATTGTTCTATAGAACATTAATTTCACCATCATCATACTGCACTGACATGTCACCTTAGAGAGAAAAGGTGCAAGTATCTGAGATGAACAAAAAAGAATCATATCTTTAATCAGACTTGTTTTGTTGATACCAAATCAGCTGAAAGTTGAGTTGTGGGTGGGCCTGCCGGCACAACTTGGCTCAGCAAAAGTCGATTTTTCCATCAACCTTTATCAAAGGAGTCAGGTGGAAATTGGTCCTCCGAACAGTAACTGCAGCCAATCCGCCACAATTTGGGTATTCTGACGGCAGCAGGCGCTAGTTGTCAGAAGACAATAGCCTGGTATTGGAGACCTGTGTTTAGCGGAGGAAAAGTAAAAGGAATTTTCTGATTTTGTTTCATTCAGCCCACCAGCTGAACAAAATAAATCTATGCGCGTATGGCCAGATTTAGGCTAGCTATACACTGGTAGACTAGGCAGCCTAATACTTCTCCTTCCTGGCATCCAAGATGCATGCAAAGTCTGAAATATATATATATATATATATAAAAAGGGACAATAAAAGCAGTATAAGACCATTTATATGCACCAATGTGACCCTAGTATATTTCAGTGGTCTCCACCTAGGTCAGTTATTAATAAAGGTAAAAAAAACAGCCTTTGTGGGCTTACTATTGGCCCATGCATAGGCATTTGAAGACCTGCAGACGTATCAAGACATGTAAGGGCACCTGAATAACTGAATAAATCCAAAATGTATGTTGTATTTAGGTATTTTCAGTAGCAGTAGACGTGGTTAGTAAAGGAACATTCAGAAAAAAAATCATGACCTAGTGATGACTCAGAACAACAGGTCTGATGACTATTTGACAATGAAAAAATGGAAGCCCAGCTTAGCACAACGTAAAAAAAACAAAGCTAAAACAATTTTCCTTACCCCTTCTACCAGATTGCACACAGTGACCTCCAGCAGAGATGTGAGATAGGCAATCTTGGTACCACTCGTATCTCCCAAGATAGGAAGTTTGGTTAAGAAGACACTGAGAGACCCTCGCTGAGTGGACACTGCCAACAACTGTCCATCATCTGTCCAAGAAAGCCGATCTAAACCTTTAGCAAAAAATAGAGGTTATTATGCTGTTGATATGGACTGTTTTAATATATTTTAATCTATTAATGCCCAATTCCAACCAATTGTTCTGGGTATTGTGGTAAAGGGTTAGATGTTAAGTTTTTCTTCTTCTTTTGGGAATCTCTGGAAATGAAAATATGGTTCTTATACTTTCCCAATCTACTTAAAGGGAAAGTAAAGGTTTTTTTGTTTTAACATTTTCTAATTTTTAATTTTGTACAGACAATTCAGTACAAAATTTAAATCAGAAAGAGAGATGGATACACCCTGCAGTAGATATGTATATGTAGAAGAGGCATGTAAAAAAGATATAAATATCAACTTATTATCTTATATAAATGTAAAATAAAACTGACCCAAAAACCATTACAGTTTGCTTTTTTTTTTTTTAAATTGCTTTTTATTGCTATATGTGTCTCTTTTGAAAATATTCTCCTGTCCTGGTCCTAAGGAAGTGAGGGGAAATTCCCAAGAGGGGACACCGGCATCAGTGAACACTTGACAGAGGATCTAAGTCTTTCCCATCCTATCAAAAATTGAGCTGAACTGAGTAAGTCCCATTTATATTAGCAAATTGGTTACCTTTAGTTTCATCATCCAGAGTGATGATCGCATACATTTCTTTCAGTTCACTTAAGTCATGGATTTTGATACTAAAACAGATTAGCAAAAGTTACAGTGAAGAGCAAATATAAAAATCAGAAAAAGTAGCAGACAATAATAATTGATAGTGTCCATAACATCCGAGTCTTATTTTCTTTTAAATGATAGTACATAATGATATTACATAGTGACTGTTGCTGTAGGACATCTTTTTGATGTGAGAGTATGACCCAAAACTTAGGATCTTATTTCAGGGGTCACCAAATGATGCCAATATCTAACCATTCATTTTGCAACATGGCAAACGCTGGGGCACAGAAGAAAATGGCATCAAAGAGCAAAATATGTCATATCTGAGTGTAGACAGGTCCAGACTGGCAATATGGTAACTCAGGCATCTGGAAAATGGGATAACTTGTGAAAGAGTAAAATTGAGTAGGACCAGCGAGCTGATGCAAAGCCCTCCGGGGCTGCTCAGTGTCAGGCAAGCGTTTATAAAGTAGAAGGGGTCAGTCAGCAGTGATACAAATTCACAAACATTTTTCACCATGCTTGGTAAAGTTCCAGTGAGCACTAGAATGTGGGCCCTAATGCCTAATGTTCCAGGGCGGATTTGTACAGCAAGTCTAGTCCTAAGTGTAAACATGAAATTATACTATTATGAGCGATCAACCAGTCATATAAATATGACATAATACTGGTAACAGCACAACACACTTATACTTATAAAAAAAAGTAAATGCATATACGGATACATGGTTGCTTTGGAAAAATCTTTGAGTAAGTCACTTACTTGTTGTCGCCACATGATGCAGCTTTGTTCAATGACTGAGAAATGGCAATACTAGTTAGATTGTCCTTGTGGTTGCTTGCCTGGAACAGCTCTTGACCAATCTCACTCATGTGTGTGGAAATCACCACAAAGAAGCCAAGAGAAAAGCCGATCATGATGTAACCATCACCATACCTGGCAAAATTCAAGGAACAAACCCCAAATACAGCAATGAAACACTTCTTCATTATTTCATTAAAACAGCTTATATCCATAGTTCTCAGTTATCCAAACATCTGCTATAAATGGGATACGTAATGTTGGCAAAATCACAAACTGACCAACACATGGGAGGCCCGAGGTATAGCATTAAACAGGTCATGTCTGTACCAAATCCTTATATGTCCATAGTCTAGAGCAGCTCTTTCTCATCCCGTCTCATTGCTCCTTCTGTATTCCTCTCTTTTGCCTGTCTAAATTTTACTTGCTGCTATAGATACATAGATCTCTATATAACCATATAAAATGTACATATAAAGCAATTATACTTTTAGTAGTCATATTTAAAATGATAGTTATCTAATTCTTTTAGTAATCTATGCAGATTATAAACGTGTCTACATTATGCTGACACATGTTCATTTTAATTCCACATACTTTAAATCTTTCAGTGTCCAGTAAGATCACAAGTCTACCAAAGTCACTTATTATTATTATAATACAGGATTTATATAGCGCGACAGTTTGCACAGCGCTTTACAATATAAGGAAGACATTACAATCACAATACAATTCAAGATAAGATAGTAAGGAGGGCCCTGCCCGTGAGGGCTTACAATCAAAAAGTTAGGGGGAAGTGGAGGAGGTAGCTGTGAGGGGATGAATTGTTTGAGAACGTGATGGTTCAGTGGTTAGGTTGAGGTGATATACACAGCCTGGCCAAAAAAAGTTACACACTCTAATTTTTAGTTGGACCACCTCTAGCTTTGATTACGGCATGCATTCACCATGGTTTTGTTTCCAACCACATGTCACAACATTTATTTCTGTCCACAGTTGTATTAATTTTTTAGCAAGATCTTGTGGTGATGATGGGAGTGTTGGACCACTGCGTAAATTCTTCTCCAGCACATCCCAAAGTTTCTTAATGGGGTTCAGGTCTGGACTCTGTGGTGGCCAATCCATGTGTGAAAATGATGTCTCATGCTCCCTGAACTACCCAATCTCAAAATCTGACCTTGATGAATCTTGGCATTGTCATCTTGGAGTATGCCTGTGCCATCAGGGGAGGAAAAATCCATTGATGGAAAAACCTGGTCATTCAGTATATTCAGGTAGGCAGCTGACCACATTTTTTTTTTGACATAAGGTTGCTGAATCTGGACTAATTATCCAATGGAAGACTCTTACCTATTCGCTTAGCTAAATCCATGTGGTGACCTTTTTTGGCCAGGCAGTGTGTATGATTATCTCTTTCTAAATGTATTTTTTTTGTTATACTAAAGCTTCACTCAGGAGCCAAAGGACATAGTAGGGAAGAGGTGAACTTTCTGCCCGTTTTCTTATTGTCAAATTTCTTTTATCAAATTTTCAAATATGTTTACAAGAGTACAACAAAGGAAAGAAAGGGAGAAGATGAGCAATGGTTCTTCTGATGTATGCATAGGTAATGTATTTATAAAGAAGAAAGATTTTCTGAGAAAATATACAGAACATATACAGTACAGTATTCCATTGCATCATGTTTCGTCGGATTTTATAAGAATTTAATGGAAATGTATTATCATAGCGTAGAATCAAATTTTTTTTTTCTGTCTGTAACCTCACTGAATAGAATTTCCTTAATTTCCTGTCAATGTGTCATCAGTGCAGGAAATGGGGGTGAGCGGGGGGTTGTATATGTAACTTGGAAAGGAAGGTACAAACACTAATAAATACTGTCAAAAGTGCTAAAAGTTATTCACTCTACTAAAAATTAAAAATGATTTTTGTATTTTATGTTGGATAACTCTTCCATCAGCTGGGGAGTTGGACTTAAATAAAATATGAAACCTGCTAATTTTTCTGTTTATATGTCATCGCGGCTTATTTAGTATGGGGAGCTGATATTGCTATACACTCTCCTATTTTTAGCTTGAATATGTAAACCACAGACCATGATTTGCCACCCATTTATAAAATGCAAGCTGGGATGTGCAGCATGCGTAGCCCCACAAAGTTCTCTCTGCTAAACGCAGCAGAGAGAGCTCTGGGATTGGCAGACAGCCAGTCATGCGACAGGTCTTCGTCTGGCATTTTTTTTTTACTCTCTGCTCATTCATGTCTATTGCACTCCATTGGCCTCCAACTCCCGTGTTATATGTGATCTGCAGTATTCCAGTGGAGAGATGTAAACTCATTGTTATATTTTTTACCATTTGTGGGACACAATGGCTCCGTAGCGCTGCTGAAAGGCCAGTTCTATGGGATTGTCTGGATCATTCAGATTGAAGAGGAACAAGGTTTTCTTTCCAACAACAACGCTTACCTAAGAACAGCAGAAAAGATGGCATTAGATAAAAAGAAGAAGAAAAGATAAAAATCATTAATAAAACTATAAAAATAAAAATGACATTCCACATCTGCAATGTCATCGTCAGGTATATACCAAAAGTTTGTGGACACCTGACTACCACGCCAACTGTATGGCCAAAAGTATGTGTGTGGGTGGATGAATGAATATTGGTGAGTTGGAACTCTGCTGATTGCTGATGTTTGTAAAAAACACCTGGCTCGTTTTTCTAATCTAACATCAGTGCCAGACATTACAAATGCTCTTTGGGCACACTTCAAATTTTTTTAGAAAGCCTTCCCAAAAGAGGGGAGGTTGTTAGAACAGTCACTGAAGGTGGGGACAACTCCTTATCAATGCCCATGGTTTGGATATGGGATGTCCAATAAGCTCATACTGTAGAGTTATGATAGTCAGATGTCCACAAACTTTTGGTTATATAGTGCATAATAATATATGTCTATGTTTGACATTTAATATTCAAATAGAGTGCAATGCATCAAATGAAATTGATACAATTATCCAAATTAGTAAACATATACAAAAAAATAAAATAAATATATCTATCGATGATAGATAGATAGATAGATAGATAGATAGATAGATAGATAGATAGATAGAAGAGATGCACCGAAATGAAAATTTCAAAACCGAAACGAAACCAAATTTAAAAAAATGTCAGACCAAAAATGTTTTTTACTTTAACTTTTTCAGATTTTTAAAAATATTTTATTTTTATGTATGTTTTTATAAACTTTTAAATTTTTTATATTTATTTTTATTTATTGAATTTTTTTATTAAATATTTTTATTTTTTTACTTTACTTTTAGGGGCTTTGGGGAAATATTAGGGGTGTAAACAGCCCCCTGATATTTCCCTTTTAAAATAGAAAAGAGGTTGAAAACACAGAGTCCGCAATCTCTTTTTCTGCAGCCCCTGTTATAAATGAACAGGAATAATCTATGAGTGTTCCTGGTCATTCATAACACGAGGACATGGTATGTTTACTATAACCACAATCCTGAATGAACAGGAGGTGAGGTAGATCACTTCCCATTCATAATTGAGGATATAGTAACCATACTCTGTCCTCAATTATTTTCAAACACTCAGCGATCACTGAGTGTTTGTACCGCGCTCCTTCCTGACACGCTGTCACAGGACGTTGAGCAAGCGGAACTCAGCCTCCTGTGACAGCGCTGGCTGCCTCCACCCACACTGCTCTCCTCTGATCCGTCACAGGAGGCTGAGCGGTGCGGGGAAAAGAGACGCCGGTCGCTCACAGCGCTCTCCTCCCGCAGTACTCAGCCTCCTGTCACAGTTTCTCTCTTCCCCGCTGGGACACAGAGCGGCGCCCAGCGGGGAGAAGAGAATAGGATGCACCGATGTATCAGCCAGAAAATGTCACTTTCGGCATTATGCCAAAGTGCCATTTTCGGACGATATGTTTCGGCGGCCGATATAACGGTGCATCCCTAATATATATATCTATCACTAAGCTCCAATTACTTTTTAATACAGAGCTGCCCTACTAATTAGCCAAATGCTTTATCCTCATTTGTCAAGACCAAAACCCGCTTCCGACAAGAGCTGTTAGTATAAAACTCTTTATCTGTCCATCACACAGTGCTGAGACAGTGCTCACGAAAACCTATGAGGAGTTTATGCTGAGCAGATTGCAGAAACTATCCTGAGCAGCAAAAGTGCTCTCTGAGAAACATACTATCTTTTCCTTTACAGGGTTATTCACTAAAGGGTGAAGAGTTTGGGGAAGACAGGAGAAGTGAACAATCTAGGATAAAATAGCTGATTTGGAAACATTCTCAAATTCAGCTCACTTTCCAGTTCAGCTATGTTGTCCTAGATTGTTCTCTTCTCCGGCCATCTCCAAACTCTTCACCCATTTGTGAATAGCCCTGTAAATATGTTACTTGAATACAAAGGAAAAAGAGGAAGCAAAGAAAGGATATACTGACATTTAAGCACATTTTCTCAACATACAGCTCATCATACAAGCTACCAGAAAGTGAGACCTTACTACAGTAATTTGTAATTGGATGTCAGCTGCATTTCTAAATAAGAAAAAGAGAGCAAACTGAAAATATGTCATGTATATATTTAATTACTACAATTTGTTTCACAAATAATGAAGATTTTTAAAAAAGCAACACTGTTGCTTTAAATCTTACTGTGCTCTCTCCTTGTGATGATCGTTCATCTGTCTTCATTACAGAGAACTGGATGTCACTTGGCTCCATTCTCACCGAGGTCTGTAAACCAAGAATACCATTTATTAACACACCACTTTTTTACAGCAGTTATCTCTCTGTTGACTTCTGTAAATGGTCCTTAAATAAAAACCGTGGTTTGCCCAAGCAGGACAAAGTAACAAGTTCACTTTAATGGCATCTCTACCTTCAGCCTATACTTTATGTCCACCCACAGCTGTCTTTAACCACTGAGATTTAGCCCTGTGTAAGCTTCAAGGCCTGACTCTGAGCTTACACAGGGCTAAGATCTCTCTCTATGCCCTCATGTGACAGCTCCTCTGATTGCTGACTTTAGTCCATTACCATTCCCATGTATCACTACTGGCCCAGTATTATAGTAAGCATCCTCAATAAACAACAACCAATCCAATATAAACTGTCAATTTCCAACTTGCACTGGAAAAACAGTAGTGGAAGCATGATTCATTGTTATGGGCACTACAGGGCAGAATTATTAAAACTGGACAAAAGAACATGAGAACAAATATGGAGAGGAGACTATGGGAGACTATGTCCATTGCAACCAGCTCATGTGATGGATTTGTCCACCCTATTCCAATATCCAAGCCTCTTTACTGGTCCACCATTATGATGGGCGGCCTTATTAACCAAGGTAGAAGGGGTGGGCCAGAATGGCTGACTATGAGAACTGGATTTTGTTTGCATGTCAGATAGCTCTGGGTTTCTGCATTCCTGGCGAACCCTGGGAAAAAAAATGCAAATAGACGTGCAGGCACATGAAGGTACAATGCAATGCAAGTGTCATTTTTATAACTTAAACTTTCCCACAAGTTTACTTTAATTAGTGAGGGACAGTACATTGCTTCACCTATAAAAACAAAGCAAAAACATTTGACTGGAAGCTGTCAGCATTACCTATAGCAACCAATCAGATTCACGTTCACAACTTACATCTTGCAGTGGTAAATGGTGGCTGAAATCTCATTTGTTGTTACAGGCAACTTTGGGGCAACTTTAAGGCGGAGTCAATAAGTATTTTTGTCCCTAATTATTTTCCACAGCATCTATTAAAAGTGGGCTCTGCACATGTACTATGTAAGCTGAACGAGTAAAATATGACTGTTAAACTCTAACATACCTGTCTTATTGTGTCTCCTTCCTGATTGCTGATAGTGATCATTTTATCATCTCCACCCAGTGCAAGCAGATTCTGAAAGCTCCAGCACCCACAGGTGATGCGTTTAGTGTGTTTACCTGCAGAAAGACAAGTCAACAATTCAGGTTACTGGTGAGAATTGCAAGCTAGTTTACCATAATATCTAATCACATCAATATACCATTATGAAACACAGACTATAATCTCATAGGAATCATTCCTGTACTTCTTAACCATATCCTTTATCAGCTATTGTGGCCATATTCTACCCAATCTCACACTCAATTCATTAAGCATTCAACATGAGGTTTGGATGGGTATTAGTCTTTAGGTCTACCCTAGCTCTAGGGGGTGACAGCGAGCACTTCCAATTATCTAAAAGGCTCACTATCACTCACAGAGATTTTGTAACTCGTAGAAAATTCTCTGCATAATTTATCCTTCCCACTTCTAAAATAGATGGGAAAGGATGTATTGAATGATTGAGTGCCTAGTTATCTCATCAGAAGAGTCACATGGCAAACAGCAGCAGGTCCCAATACCACAGCAGAAGGGCAGATGCCCCCCATACACGTCAATACTAGGGGGAAACATCTACCCTTTTATGTCCAGCTTATTTTCCACAAGCCTATATCAACACATCTCCAAAAGACAAAAATACATAAAAATGATACCACTTCAGATAGTCTTATGTGATGGGTGCATACCTACTTAGATCCGATCCTCCCCGCAGCATCCAGATACAAACAGGTTGTACTTCTACTGTTTCTTGATATCCAACAAGCTTTACTCATGAACTCGGACTGTTGCACATCGCTACTTCTATGACATGTTTTCCCCCATTGGGGGCTTAGTCATCAAGGTTGAAAGTTAAAGAGCACTTGGAATAACTGAACACGTAACTTTAATGGCCACAGAAATTAAACTACAGAACATTTGATGGTAACAAGGTTGTAGGATAGGTACACATGCTTATATTTTATAAGCATACAAGTCTGTGTGTACACTAGACATCCAAAGTGCTGCTTTCATCCTGGGATAACAATAATTAATTTGCCAGATCCAACCTGACCAGTAAACATTCCCTCCCTCCTGTCAACCAGGAGTTTGCAAGTTCCCATAGACAATCCAGTTGTCGTTTGTTCCTGCCAAAATGTCATCAACAACAGGAAACATCATCATCTATCCTCTATGAATACCTTAGGTATTTGTTAATAATTTTGGCAAGAAACATCTATCATAAAGTCACATGTATTTTGCAGTCTTACCGAGCACAGGTACCTTCCGAGACGTCTGCAAGTTATAAATCAGTAAATTCCCTTTGGATGTCCCTACAGCTAGCAATGAGCCAGCCTTGGACCACAGAAGGTAAGCCATCTGATCCCTATAGTAAGAGAAACAATATTTTACTGACTTTCTGGCATAAGTAGATTTATACATTCATGTTCTGCATCTCTTGAATGCTGCTGTGTGACAAAAGAAGTAGTAGCTCCAAATTCAAAGCCTACAGTATGTGTTCCTGACTCAATATTCACTAAGCTCTAAATGTCTGTGTGCTGTATGAGTTTTGATTAAAGGCAAAGTCTATTCTATCTATCTATGGTTTGGGGTCAATTTTATTCTAATAATTTTTTTTTCTAAGTTTGTTAAAATTGTTCTTGCTGCTGTGTGTCCTCACTGGGGAGATTCGCTCTCTCAATTAGCCCTGGAGACCAGTGCCAGTGGGACTGTATACAGTCACTGTATACAAGGAAATATAAATAACACAGTAAATAAATAAATTGAAGGTGTAAAGCAGAGTGAGCTTACCTCATGCCACTGTCTAACTGGCTGGTTTTACATGTATTAGGATCCCACATGTATATGGAACTAGACTTCTCAGCGACAACAGCCAAAGCATTCCCATCTTTGTCCCAGTCCATGGACAAACACAAGCTAAATAAAGATGAAATTCAGATTATAACATCCAATGTACCACACAGATAGTAAAGACATAGCTTACAATGATTAAAATTAAATATCAATACCATCTCCTCCTATATTGCACAAATATACAATAAAACATATAAAGCGAAAAGAAGAAAAAAGGGAGATAGACAGACAGACAGATAGACAGACAGATAGATAGATAGAATAAAATATAAACATGAAGATCTATTTACCCGGGTAAGTTAATTTCGTCTTTCTTTTGGCCATGTCGGTCATAGATTTTCACTGCATGATCCGCTCTAGATATATGATGAGATTCATAGAGAAAACAACAACAATGTTAATATTAATTCTTCATCAAAGTGTCTGGGTGTTTTAGTTCTCGGTAGACACTGGCAAGTGAAGATCATCCACTGCCTTGTTATATCTGCTAAGGATGTAACCAAAAGGATTTCTCAACCTACATTCCCCCACCAGGCCCTTTCATTACAGAGGGGCTTTGTGTTGCTGTTGGATTTTCTCTCATTTTACAGTACCAAGTAGATATATATAAAAAACAGTATTTCATGCAGTCATGTGTTCCATAAAGTAACAATACATGTATTTTTAGATGAGACTAGAATAAATAACTGAATTGGTTTTGATATTAGCTTTGTGTAAGCCACAACAGCACTCTGACTGGAAGAGGAAAGGGAAGTGGGAAGCACTACTAGCTAATCAGACTCTACTGCATGCACATGCTAACAGGTAACATGGTGCCAGGAATAGATAGTAGAATGATAATCTCATCAGTTGTCTGCTGCTCCTTCACTGTCCAGTCACAGACAGAGGTGACCAGACTATACTGCATATCTGAAGATGAAGAAGGTGAGGACATCAGCCTAAACCTCAGCACTGGCTGGGCAAAATTACTAATTCTATGGCAGGTAAATGAGCTCCTATATATGTATTTTATGAAGGTATTTGGCTGTTTGCCTGGAGTTAAGTTTTAAAGAAAATGTATAGTGTTTCTCTGTATTTCCTTGATGCATTATTAAACATTTTTACTTTTTTTTTCTATTTCTGTAAACTGAACTGAATTGGTTCATACTTTGGCACTGAATATGTCAGCTGATGGATGTACACCCCTCCATCTCTCCAAGCGGACATGGCATCAGAGTGTTTGACATTCTTATAGATAGCCCAGCAAGTACAATTAATAAAAATATGTATGCAAAACAACAGTTTACAAATGTAAAATAAAATCCACCAAAGCTACTAAAGCTTCACGTTAAATTCCTACTAAAAGATTAAATATTAGGAGGGAAATTTATCAAACCTGGGGCAGACAGAATCTGGGACAGTCGCCCATAAGCTTTGAAAATGAAAGAGAGAAGCGAATTGATTACTATGGACAACTGCTCCAGATTCTGCCTTCTTCAGTTTTGATAAATTCCCCTCTATGTGCTGTCACACAGAGCAAACACTAACAGTCTGCACATATGTAAAGTATCCAAAGAAATCTCAGTGAAAGTCAGTTCTGGGTGGCTGCCCCTAGCACATTATGGCAGTTGTATGATAATGATCTGCTTACCCTGTAACCACAATGTAATTTCCTAATGTCTTCTGCCAGACATACTGAATGGGATGTCCAAGCAAGCCCTTCTCACTCAAAGCAAATACCCGCTGGAATACACAAACACAGAACTCTTTACACAGCACTTTACAAAATATGTACAGATAAAAGCATTAGGACAGGACTGAAAGTTGTATATGGTATTAACAAGAACCCAACACTCAAAACATGTTACAAATATTGCCGATGCATAAATGAATAAATTATGTTTAAATAATATTGCTGATATTAGGTTTTTGTGGGTTTTTTTCTTTTTAGAAAAAACAAAATGTAACCGAGATATACAATAAATAGATCTCACACACACAAAGGGAACATTCAAAGACTAGACCTTCCAATTCAGTAGGATCAGTTTCTTTTCACAGCAATACAGGTATCAAGGAATCTCTGCGTACAGGTAAGGACACATTTTCAAACATACCCAGTAAGCATAGATTGGGTTTGCAGACATTGGGTGAAGACAGTTAATTTTCAATAAAACTGGTAATCTCAGACCAAAATCTCTTGGGACTTGTACACGTGGGCAGCTGAGCCTGTACAATATAAATACCTGTGCATCTCCCTATGCTGCATACAGCCTCTCAAAGAAGTCAATCTGTTCATGACTGTATGTGGGTATACACCGGTACCCGCGAACAGCCGTGTATGGACATAAATCCCTGGATGGGGAAGGGATACACCAGCATTTAAATTGTATTTACATTATATGGGCTCAGTCACCAGTGTACATGATCCCTTAATGCTGTTTAATGCCACTATACTGTACCATGAGAAACAATCTGCTGTTATCCCACACCCCATAAAGCACAGGGCACTGGATCTGATTTTTAGTTTATGGAGTTTCACCGGGATATAATAAATCTGGTGTAATAATTTGTTTTTTTTTAAAAGAAGAACTCCAATAAATGTAAAAATTAACCCCTCCCAGTGGGGCTACCCTGCCCCCCCCCCCTGCTCTGCTAGGGGTAACTGCTTATTTTGGTCTAGGGGCTCTGCTGGTGGACACCCTCCTACCCCTGCTGTGTGGCCCATGGAGGAGTGGTGCGGTATCTTGTTGGATTTGACTATTATGCTAGACATACTAAAAAATAGATGATGGGTTTACATCCACTTTACACTGTATTACCCCATCTCTTGAGGAGATCACCGATACCATATATGTATCATCTGACCACTCTAGTCAGTTTGAGGCACAATATGTCACCTTTTCTCTTTAGCCCTGAGATGTCTAGTGGAGAGAAGGACTGCAATAGCAAAATGCCCAGTGCAGTTCACACATGGGCATTAGCGTTGTGTTGCTACTGTATGTGTTAAAAAATAGAGTGCATGCCATGGTCTGGAGGCATTGCCGCTGGACAAATGCATCCAATGAAGTACATTGAAAGGCCCCTTAAACACTCGGCCAATGCTCCTATAGCATTTTTCAGGCATTTAAGAAGTGCTGCACTGGTGTTTTAGAAGTAGGATAGGAGGTTTTGCAATCCCAGAAACCATTGGGGAATCAGAGTGAGTGGACAGAGCAGGTGCAGATGCCACGTCCTGTCTGCACAGAGAGCATTTGAGAGCAAGGGGGCAGCTTCTAGCCTGGTACTTCCAACCTGTGACAGCCTGCCCTATGTCACCCTGTAGAGCCAGCTGTGTCATCTAGAGCAGTGGCAGCCATTCCAAGGCCAGGCATTGCAAGTACCAACCAGAACCAGTCATGTCTGAGATAAATGTTGCACGGTTAAATTCAAGCAGTTGAGCAACAACCAGAATTGTATGACCCAAGTCTGCCCAACTACTGCGACTCCTTCAGAAAAATAGCAGTATAGCAGGCTGTCACAGGTTGGAAGTACCAGGCTAGAAGCTGTCCCCTTGCTCTCAAATGCTCTCTGTGCAGACAGGACGTGGCATCTGCACCTGCTCTGGTCACTTCCCTTTAGCCTTTACACACTCACTTTATCACTTTACCCTTTACACACTCCCCAACTTGCAGGGCATTTTGCAAGCATTTTTGATGCCTCACTAATGCCTTGGAAATATCTGCATGATGCCTTGTTAACACTATAGGTGTATTAATCAGCGTTTATCTTTATGAACGCCTCGTCTACAATCGCCTGAGCCTCCACCTCACTGATAACAACCTTCTCGATCCCTCCTCATTGGCCTACATAGACTATCCCCCCTTCAGTCTATCATGAATACTGCCGCTAGACTCATTCACCTAACCAGCCGCTCAGTGTCTGCAACCCCCTCTGCCAATCCTGGCACTGGCTTCCAATCACCCAAAGGATAAAATTCAAAATATTAACAACCACTTACAAAGCCATCCACAACTCTGCCCCCGGCTATATCTCCAACCTTGTCTCTAAGTATCACCCAAACCGTCCGCTACGCTTCCCCCAAGACCTTCTGCTCTCTATCTCCCTTGTCAACTCCTCCCATGCTCGCCTCCAGCACTTCTCTAGAGCCTCCCCCATTCTGTGGAACCCTTTACCCCAACCTGTCCATCAATCTCCTACTCTGACTGCCTTTAGGTGATCCCTTAAGACTCATCTCTTCAGGAAAGCTTATCCAACCTCAACCTAACCACTCAACCATCACGTTCTCAAATAATTCATCCCCACACAGCTACCTTCTCATGTATCACTTCCCCCTCCCTTTCAGATTGTAAGCCCCCAGGGGCAGGGCCCTCCTTACCATCTTGTCTTGAATTGTATTGTAATGTCTTCCTTACATTGTAAAGCGCTGCGCAAGCTGTTTTTATATAAATCCTGTATAATGATAATAATTAAATACTTAAGGCACGTGTGAAAGAACCCTTATGCCCCTCTCACATGGCCATTACAATCAGGTCCAACTGTCAGTTTTTCAGGTGGATCTGATCAGAGCCTGATGTTGGTCTATGGTCAGGCAGATCTAAGCAGTTTACATCCAGTTGCTCCTGACTCCAGATTAGAGCTCCGTTTTGGCGGACCTGATCGTGCCGTATGGGGAGTAATCCGATGTAAAAGGTCACAAGCCCCTTTACGTCCGATTCCTCATAGACCTAACATGGGGTCCAGTAATTTCAGGTTTTTTTTCACAATGGTGACATCTGTTCTGATCAGCGGGGGATCTGTGCATGGATTCCCTGTGGATCGGATGTGAAGGCACCCATGTGAAAGGGATCTCAGTGTATGACATAACTGGAGGTAACGGGAATTTGGAATTCTTCCGGAAGTTGATGGAAGGGTTTACAGATGGGACCTGTCATTGTTCTAGAAGTTTGATGCCTGCACCAGAAATAGAGGTGAATGTTAGAGCAGAATAGACAGATCATAAGAACTGGATCTATCAGCTTTGGTACGGGGGTGCACATTAATAAAAATCACATGCCATTTCCAGGGATACATATTCTGCATCAGTAATTCAGGGCCAATGTATGTAAACACTGAGTACATCGTCAAGCGGTGCACACACAGTACATTATGTTGGTGGGAGGTCTCAGCCTGCAGTCCAGAGGACGGGAACACAGGGTATGAGCAGTGTGCGCTCAGGGTGCTCTGTATGTAAATAATCACCCACGTACCCCAACCTCCCGGGCCTCCTTACCTTCATTCTGCAACAAACCCCCTTAGTACTGCAGTGCGCATGTGCGTACCCAGGGTAACTACGGGCAGCGAGTTACGGAGCGTCATTCTATTCCCATGGCAACCTTTTAGCCAATCACCAGAAAAGCCATGAGTGACGCAATCTCCTCTGAAATCAGCACTCCTGGTTCTGTCTCCAGAAGCGGCCATTTTATGGAAGACTCATATAATGTGACCCTATTGGTTAGGCGCCGAGAAAATGGCTGAAAATCAGTCCGTTGTGCTGTGGCCATCCAGACTTTCCTAGCTCATATATTCGTATGCGTTGATGCTGTTAGCTTTTTTTTTTTTGCTTCTTCGACTACCCGTAGGATTTAAATGAACGTGCGTCATATCTGCTTAAAATAAATCAGACGTAAAATTATAAGTAGAACTGAATTCTTTTTATTTTTGCTGTAGGTAAGGGGGGCGGTGGTATAACCCCTGCCTGCTTTGTTTTCCTGTTTTGGAAAATGACGAAATTCCCTGGTGGTCAGCAGGGTCACAAGAACTAGTGTCATCATTGGCAGATTTCCCATCTATTACTGTTCTGATGACAACCCAAAATGTTGGACTTTCTGTCAGCCAGTGATAATGATCAGCACAAACAGAGGTTGAATCCCCTTAAAGGGGACACAGATGACAATGAAGACCTAACAGGGGTTCTAATCCCACCCAGCCCTATCCAAAACAAACCCAAAAAGTTTTTGCTTTAGTTACACTTTGTTGGCCATATACATCACAATCTGACTGTACAATTTCCTTTTACCAAAACTATGTCATAAGGGGACACACCTAAGCAATCTGTTCAATCCAGTCACAGTCCCTTTCTGCATATGGTTACAAGTAGATCTAAAGGGTATTGTACAATCAGATTGTATAGTGTATGGCCAGCTTAGGAAACAAGCTGTATTGGTAAGCGCACTCTGCCACAAATGTTTGAAGAAAGTTTTCAGACTTATTAATACTAACTAGAATATGCGCTGTGCCCCTTTTCCTGGAAAACTAGACGGCTCTTGTTCTTCCGTTATCCGGAAATCCTTTTATGGCAAGGTAACAATTTCCTTCCTGACACATCGAGGCGAGGAGGGAATACGGGAAAACGAGACAGCTTTCGTTCTTCCGTTATCTGGTGAGTGCATACCCTACGGGGGTTTCTTCTTCCGACAAGCAGCTTCTTGGCACTTCAAGTTGGGACACACACCCTTTGTTTTTTCGTGAATGAGATAAACATAATCGGACACTTTTATTGTTTATGATACATCATCAATTTCATATATTTTTATAATCTTCATAATTTTATATATATATTTATAGTTGCATCTGTTTGTTTTTACCATTTAATACTAGTGGTTTAATTCACATTATTTTAACTCAGGACTGTGGGTTTCTAATATACACACTCACATTATGTATTCGGTTTAGTTCATCAAGATACACCACTCTCTTTTAAGAGAGATTCGCACTGTTAACATTTTTATTTGTTACACAGTGTCCACACAGTTATACATCACACATTGATACGTTGTTTAGAGAAAAGACCAACACATGTAAAGGTTTATTTATCTATTTATTTATTGATTTAATTTTTCCCAACACTGTGTTTCTGGTAACCATACCGTGAGGCTTATAGCCCTACACCATCAATGTATCTGTTGTTTTTGTTTTTACTCTGACAGGCCGGTATCCCAGAAAGGTTTACTCTGCTAGATGGAGCAGAGTAAACCTTTCCGGGATAAAATGTTTCTCTTGCAGGCGTCAGGGAGTCGCTATCTTATAGCGGGAGACTCCTGGAACGTCCAGAAGAGTTGGGATGTCTGCAATCAATGGGCCAGGTGCCGTGGAGGATATCACTCACGTATGCATGTGTAGGAGTTACATCATCAGTGGTCACCCAATGGCTGAAGAAGATTTCCATGGGAAGTGGCAGGGGACAGAGGATCTCTGGAGATGGGTATACTTGTAAGGTAAGTGTGCCATAATGTACATTATGCAAAACCCCACCCAGCACACTGTTGCTTTCCTACAAAAATTGATAAAGTTCACTAAACCTTTTATTCAGCTCCTAAAGTGTAGCGTATTTGCCGGCGTATAAGACGGGTTTTGAGACCTTAAAACATCCCCCGAAAATCGGCGGTCGTCTTATACGCAGGGTACATACGGAAGGATACGGTATACTGTATGTAGCTTTGGCTACATACAGTATACCGCGCTGAGCCAATCACGGCAGGCTTTGTATTAATGAATACAAAGCTTGTATTCATTAATACAAAGCCTGCCATGATTGACTCAGTGGAAGACGGAGGACACAGCAGGGATCGTGGGCAAGGTAAGAGACTGTAATCCCGCGTGGGGCTCGGGGTTACCGCTTATGGTACTGAAAATTAACCCCGAGCCACACTCGGGATTACAGTCTCTTACCTATAGCCTGGTGTCCCATGTCATTATGCCCTGGTGTATGCTTCTCAAACATGTTCTAAGGTTTTTGCAAATAATGTTACCAAAAACCTTTTGGATTTTCAGCTTTGATGCAACACCTCAAGAAACATATAGAAAACAGATACTTTATCTCCATCTACTGTTTATGTGAGGAAAGGAATGAACGTGCTTTTCCCATTGGTATCTTGGCAGTATTATTTTGATTAAGTAGCATGGAAAATAGCACGCTCGTAATCCCTATAATTTATTTTCATATATTTATTGTATATTATCATTTTTTTTTTTTTTCGTTAAAGGATGATCAGCAGTGAGGTAGAGGTCATTGGATGGCATGTGGTTGACACAGTCTTCACACAGGAAGAGTCTAATGCAAGCTGCAACACTGGAATAGAGGGAAGGTAGGAGAGATGAGAGATGAGCTGCTGGGGAGGAGATTATAAGGGTTTGCTCACATCAGCAGCCAAGTTATAACTCGGTTGCTGGTGTCCGCTGTGAAGGAAGTGGTGCTGATGCGCTGTAAACCACATATTGCAATGGAACTTTTTTTTGTTGTTTAACATTATTGAAATGTCACAAAGTGATATTTCTTACAGTTCTATTCACTGCAGTGATTTAATGCATCGTAAAAATGTACTGCATGTCTATGTGTTGGGATTGCCAAGGGCATTCACAGCTGGAGTGAACAGGCCATAAAAGTTCTGTTATTGCAGGGATGTTTCATGTGGATTGTTTGTCAACCTGATAGGGTTTCTTAAAGAGTTATTGGTTATACAGGATGAGCCTCAGAACGTGTGTGAAGAACACTACACAATGTATTCTCTGAATCTTAGTGGTGCTCAGGCTAGTTCAGGACTTTATTCTAAGGTGCCTAAAATACCCTTTCCGCCTAATCTGTTAAAAGTGGAACAGGAACTCCTATTGAATGTGTCTAAGCTCATATCAGCATAACCAAAAGTATCGAGAATTCACTGCCAGGCGTGTGTTGCACTTAATCCTACATGACATAACAAGTAAATGGATCATCAGATCCAAATCTAACAGGAGTGAAGAGATTTTAGTTCTGGGTGACTTTGCTAAAAGGTCTCGTCTCAAAGAATCTACAACGTGGGCATCTGACCAGGTATTTTTCCACCACTGTAAACTATAGAATTTAGTTTTGTAAACTTGTTTTAAAAAATTGTTCATATAAATGTTAAAAATAAAGTCGCTCATCTGAATAAATGTTTAGTCCCTACATGTACTGCCATGACGGATGGATTGTCAGGCGTGGGGGAAAATCAGCTTCAGTCCATTTGAAGAAAGAGCAGTTCTGATTCAAGACTCGCATAGATTCAAGACTCATGTAAAATCAGAGATCTCATCAACCTGTTGGGGGAAGCATTCTTATTTCCATGTCTTGTAACAGCAATCTAGGGAATCTTCTTTTATTTAGCGTCTTTATTTATCCCATTTTAAAAGTTTACCAATTTCAAATTGGATTTGGTTACTTCTGCGTGCTTAGAACACCCATCACCACCTAAAGCAGCTTCTAAAGCTGGTCTCTGTGACTTTCTGCTCATACTGTAGCACGGTTTAAGCTTCTTAAAAACAAAGGTTTGCCGCTGGGCCTACTGTGCATCCAGACCTGCTGCTTTACAGAACAAATGTATAGCCTGTAATGGCCATTGATTGTATAAAAGATTCAATGTTTTTTTTTTCTTGTTCTTTAGTTCATATAAAGCAATGTTAGACAACTATAGACTTGCCTACAGATTTCTGTTAATTAGCTTTGTGAACTATGCTGTCAGTGCCCAATGTGATTTTAATAGTTAGGGCATTTTTCTCTGCCTTAGGTGTCTCATGCCCGTCTATCTACATAAATCAGCAGTTTTATTTTGCATTTTTTGCTGAGAGCATGACATTTGCTTAAATTTGATGAAGCCATACATTTATCTTTTTGCTTATTTTTTAAGTTTTGGTCTAAGGCACTTCTATAAATACTTTTTCAGCATATACTGTAATCAAGACATTTGAACATAACAGATCACTATGATAACAGCATAGACCATTCACACAAGGCCATAGACAGGGCCGGATTTACTCTGCTTCCCCAAGGTCAGGTTCCTCAACGCGCCCCCGTACCTGCCAAACCCCTCCCCCATTATGGAGAATGGGAGACCTGCAGGCTACATACAATGTCGCCGAGATCACTTGTACAGAACAAGTGGTGGCTTCCCTGCTGTACATTTAGCTCTGCTTGGCCAAAGCAGGGCTAAATGTAGAAAACACCTGGGCATCGGGAGATATCAGTTCCACACCCCTGCTGCCCCTCTACTCCCTGCTGCCCCAAGGCCGGGCCTTGGTTGGCCTTGTGAGAAAACCGGCTCTGGCCATAGACAGAGGATACAACATGGCCAACACATGGTAAAAATTAGTACAGCTTAAAATGGAACTCCAGTTTAAAAAGAGAGAGGGGAAGGGTTAGCTTCCTTGTCAAAAGTCTACATTTCATTATTATGGATATTTCCTCATGCTCCCTGTTGCTGACCACAGCCTTGAATCCATACTTTTCCACCCCTCACCATCGGTTGTTCTAGCTATAAGGGCCAATGAAAAAGAAATGCAGATTTATCTGACCTTATGGTCAGAGAGATGGTTCTCTGAAGAATTTCCATAGATCAGGGGTAGGCAACCTTGGCGCTCCAGCTGTGCTGAAACTACAAATCCCATAAAGGCATTGCAAGCCACAGACATGACTGCCAGAGGCAGAAGCATGATGGGATTTGTAGTTTCAGCACAGCTGGAGAGCCAAGGTTTGCCTACCCCTGCCATAGATGGAAGATAAGATGCTTAGGCTGCCCACCAGGCTACATGTAGGCCACATGCAAAAATAATACATTTAGAGAAATACATATAAAACTCTGTCCTGCATCATTCCATGTACGTTTCTGTTACTTAAGATGCAAATTAATAATTTGACAAATAAGAAGTTGCTATAGGGAGGGCTCTCTAATCTGCTCTCTGCTGCTGATGTTGTGTTTAACTACGTGCACTTGTCATAAGGGGTATCTGTTACTTTGTACTATGCTATGGGATATCATGTTATGTAAAAAAAAAAAAATCACTGGAGCAGAGGAAAGAGGCTCCAGTGACCGGTCTAACAGCCAGCCAGCCGTGAGATTCAGGTGAGTATAACTTTTTACATTTTCTTCCATGGACGAAAACATGTATCAATAGGAAAAAATTGCAGAAAATTCAAAAATGGCTTGGCCAGCTGATTTGAAAATTTTTCCGGAGGGCTTGGCAGCGAAAGGGTTAAACCTTGCAGTGCAGGGGTAGCCCCAATGCAAGGATTCAGAATAATTGCGCCCAGAATTCTTCATTAGACAAACACATGAAACTCAAAGTGCATAAATGTTTATTACATATTTTATAATAAAAATGTTCAGAAACAGTACATATATAAAAGGGATATAACAAGAAGTGAACAAGCACAGATCAGGTAGTCTTGCACATGAATAAATAAAGCTGACGCATTACATAAAAAAAAAACTCCAATCCGCGGCACAGCCATGACAGTAAGTAAGGCCAGTATAAAGAATTGGCATTCAGGTTGCAGTAATAATAAAGTATCAGTAAGAATAGAAGCCCAGTGCTGTGTGTAATGATAGAGGAAGGCACACAGTGGAAGGTACGTTTGTCACGCAGTATATGAAACAAATATATGCATATTTAAAATAAATAAAGTTACATATTGCTAGAAACCAGCTGCTACATCTTAAAAAACATACGTGAAGAAATACAAAAATAATCCTTAATCTAATAAAATAAAACGCAAAAGGCTGCGTGGAATGATTCAACAGCTCAACCACTCAAGTCCTAGAGTCTTTTTCCTACCTTTGCCATCTAAGCATTTTATTTTTGTTTCTGAACTTTATCCTTTGTGGGCTATCCACAAATTATAAATCAAGCTTTTCTTTGTTTAGCACAGAGAGGTTTTTTTTTAATGCTTGTTGCACACTCCACGGCAGGATTGTAATCCCAGGAGCTGAACAAATCAGCTTCTGGGCTTAGTGCTGGACCAGGACTGTCAATGACAGTTCTAATAGTGAACCCAGTGGGGACTGGTGAGAGACGCTAAGACCAAATGCTGTCTTAAAATGGTTTTGGGACAACCACAAGCATTTTAAAACAGCACCTGGGACTCTAATGGTTATTTTTCTTTCTGTGGAAGACCATAAGGTTAATTTTGGATGGAGTGTAAATGGGGCAGTAAATGTCATATTTACCTTATTAGGTCCCCTACAAACTCTTTGCTTTTCTGCACATTATCTGCCTGGATAGCAGAGGATTCCTCACTAAATTCAACAGAACCAAAAGCAGCAGCACACGCAGCAAGGGAATTGCTGGAGGGAATCCCAGGGATGGCCTGCATGTTTTTGCTCCATGAAAGTATAGCTTCTTGCCCAACCCTGACATCCTATAGCTTTTGTTTAATGGATTACAAACTACAAAAGTTAGGTTCACCTGCACCATATCCACATTCCATGAGGCCACCCCACTCCCTGTTGGAAACAAGGCAAAAAGCTTTTAATTAAGGTAAGATTACTCATATACACTTTATCTGTTAAATGGATCTATCAGGCAGCTTCATGTTTGTCTCATTATCCTGATGCAACCATCTGATATCCAGGACTAACATGAGTTCTGGCTCATGTTAGTCCTGGATACAGTAACATGCCAGTATTGGGTAAGGACCTCAGCTAGAGGAAAGCTAGGGATATAGCCTCAATATACAATACCTGTAATGTTATCTCATGCAAAGCTGGCAACCAATCTAATCAACCTATCAAAATACTTCTCAGTAGACACTTACGTTACCTTATTTCAGTTCACTTATTTTAGTCTAGAGCAAACCAGATCTATCAATAGGATGTGGCGGTGTTTTCACCTTTCCAGAAAGACCGGAATAATTATTAACACCACAAATAGTAACCATTGCTTAGAGATCTTACTAGATATATGATCATGGTTATCAATATACAAGGTAAGTGTCATTTTTGGTATGAAATTCAAGGTCCCAAATAACTCCTGGTGGCAGAACCCATACAGTATTAGAATACAATCTCTAGGTATCTAGCATAAAAGGACTAAGACCAGCATGACCACCAGGAGTATTTCCTAGTCCTCCTTTTGCTAAAACAGTCCAAATGCTACCAAACAAAATGTGTCATGTTTCTCCTTAGTTGAAATGCACCCACGCATGTGAATGTCTCTTCTTTAAAAGCTAAATATTTACTACATGTGGTTTGGTGACAACAGCCACATAGAAATATTGTTCCAAATAAAATGTAAGTTCAAATGAAGTGTATTGACCACAAACACTCCAATCAACCACTGACTTCCAAACACAATATACTCTGCCCACAAGCTCTCTTCAGCAACCAGGCAGAACCGAAATGGGGGGCGGGGATGTTGTGGGATTACAGTGCAAATAAACCTGTAATTTTCTGATTCATCTCAACGTGCAATACACTCCAGCAAATTGAACAATTCATAAATCCAAAATACTAGGAGGTAATGCACAGCAGCAATCAGACTGGAAGTGTGAGAGGTGGCTCTCTAAGCTAATCAAGACTTCTATGACTCTACATTGTACTTTACACTAAGCATATTGACAGGAACAGGAGAACTCAGGGGTGAGCTAATCAGTGCAACACTCCATTATCCAATCATTCATTCTATCATTGAAGTCCTGATATTATGATTTTTGCCTGAAGCACTACTTCAGTGTGGTCCTTTCCTGGATCCCATTAAGGATAAAACCGAGAAGCTGACCCAAACTGCTAGGAAGACGACATTGCTTCATAAAGATGAATGAGGCCACGGATGGGGACGGCACACAATTTGGTGGGAAGAGATGCAGGTCCCCAAAAGTTAGATATTGCAAGTTACTAAATCTACCTGGTCTACCTGGAACACAGATGTTAGTTTTGGGTGTTGTTGCACTTTAAGAACTAAAGACTTTTGCTCACAATAATTTCTAATGAAAATGGACCTTGCAATACAATCACTAGCTGTAAATAAGATTAAATTTTACATTGATTTTTGCTGCACTGTGTTAAAGATTTAATTCAACTGAACCGAGTGCAGGTCAATGCATACAATGTTTACATGCATCTTGCTGCTTTTTAAAAACACAGGAAAGGGCATGGAAAGCATACATCAGAAGTGCAGAGCAGAGAGATCTCTCTAAGGGGATAACACAGATAATGTTTTACACTTTTCATCTTCTCTTCATACTTAACCCTTCTCTGGGTGTAAAAAATAAATGAAATAAACTAATCTTGCAATGGGGCTACCCCAACACTGCAGGGGTTAACTTGTCGAATCATGGTGATGTGGACTTTTAGTTACCCAATTGCCTCTCCCCAACAGTTGGTGCTCTCCCCTCCGCTTCCAGCTTATAATGCAGGGATATGAGGCCTGCTTTAAATGTGATTACATCAGAGGGCCTCTGACCGCTGGAGTGGTGGGGAGGGAAGAGGCAGCGGGAACTGTTATTGGAGCCATCATGTAATTAAATGTCCTTTTAACCCAGGGTCTCTAGACAGAAATGAGCAGTTAACCCTTGCAGTGCATGGGAAGCCTATTGCAAGGGAAGTTTTTTGTTGGTTTTTTTTTACAGGGGAGACCGGATTTAAAATATGCAGATTATACTGTATGAGGCAATTTTGTGAATGCAAGGTCCACTTTAACAAAGCTAAATTTGTATAAACGATTAAGGTTTTTGTATGCATACCCAGGTGTCTTTTAGTGGTAATGATAGCCTGTAACTAAAATGTTCCATTAAACACAAATATTATATAATTAGGTAAAATTAAACACAACAAATTAATGAACACAGTACAAGTTCACGCTGCTGAAGAATGAACATAAAAGCATAACTAGCTTTTTCCCCCCTCTTGCTTTTTTCCCCCCTCTTCATTTCTCTGTTAATTGTTTTCCCATTACACTTTCTTTTTCCATGTGTTTTTTTTTAAGACTGCATTGTGTTGCTCTTCTGCACATACTGTGACACATACAATGGCAGGTACAAAATGTTCCACCCATGACCTGCACTCCCGCCAACCTCAAGGAGCCCAGATTGCACTTGCAGCGACATGCAGACATCTAGTGACAACTTTGCATGAGATTACAGGGAGACAACAGCTAAATAATACTGTAACATTCTTTGCTGACTGTAAACTGTTACCTGTTTTGCCCTGCAAATCATCCAGTAACATATTCAAATAAAATCTCTTTATTCTACATGCGTGTTGTATGTTGGTCCAATATAATATGTTAAATACTCTTCTTAGGTAAATGATCAACATCTTGTGCATTTAGATACAATGTGATAAATAGAAGAAGTAGATTTAAAAAAAAACAAAAAAAAACATTCACAATTAAAGCATTGCGTCAATAAATATGTAATGGATAATCAGCTCTTTGGGAGTGTTTGTGCAGATGATGTATAAAACTTGCAGGCTATAGTTTCACTGTGACCACGCATGCTCCGGCTCTTCCAAGGCACAATGGGGCAACCTGAAATACAAAAAGAAAAATAAATAAATCTACTGTATGTCCACCACAAACTAAAACAAGTGCGTCATTTCTTTGGGCCTGTTCACACCATAGTTCAGGTGTTCGTGTGTGCATAACACCTATGAGCGTGCATGCGTTTTTCAATTGCCGCGTAACGTGTGTTTAACATGGAATAAAGTGCATTTTTAAACTTTTTTTTTATGACTTCTATGGTTTAACCATGCAACCTGTCCTATTGTTTTTCGCACTTGCCAACACAGCACATTGGTGTGAACTTTACCCACATAAATAGACATTCGGCCTATATATTTTCCTTGTTCTTGCTTTGGGACTGTGTTGAGCAATGCAGCTGAATGGTGCTGGTGTGAACATGCCTTAATACTATGGTTATATCAGTTACTGCATGTTTAATCTGTACACATAGGCGTGCACAGCCATAGAAGTGAGTACACCCCTCACATTTTTGTAAATATTTTATTATATCATTTCATGTGACAGAAGAAATTACACTTTGCTACAATGTACAGCTTGTATATCAGTGTACATTTGCTGTCCTCTCAAAATAACTCAACCCCTAAGTGAAAATGTCCAAATTGGGCCCAAAGTGTCAATATTTTGTGTGGCCACCAGTATTTTCCAGCACTGCCTTAACCCTCTTGGGCATGGAGTTCACCAGAGCTTCACATGTTGCCACTGGAGTCCTCTTCCACTCCTCCATGACGACATCAC